GTAATAATATCCAGGATAATATTCCCACCAATATTCCCACCAATATTCCATCTCCTCTGTCACCTCTCTTTAGAATGATAAACCACCTCCCCACCTTACTTATATTGATAAATCTGCAACTCTTGTTGCAGGCGAAGCACTAAAACTTAGCACCTTTACAACCTAATCTTCCGCCATCACATCCGTAGCTCGCTGGCTCGCAGTCTAGACTTTCAATTATCTGTTCTTACACTGTGTTGGTGCTAAAATAATAAGCCATACTTTGAATAAAGTGATGTAATTTTATTGTTTAGTTGTACTTTAAACTTTCAAACAAGATTTGATCTGATCTAGGCGCTTACCTTTGTGAGATATTAAATAATCAATTCTTTTGCAACGTTCTTTTGATAAATCTTTAAACTTTTAATTATCGATTATCACACTCTGTTACTGTTACTTAATTGGTGCTTAAATTGTTAACACAAATTGTGATGTAATTATTTTGTTAAACTCAAATTTTACAGTCATCATGGAGAATGATCCAGTTTTTAATTTTAAACCATTCATTGTCATCACGTGCTTTTTCAGCATATTCGCATTTTCAGCGTATTTAAATAGCATTTTTAACAAGATTAGTTTCGATCTAGGCGCATACTCCACTGACATATAGGCTCGTTTTTTGAGGAATATTTTATTTATTCAAATGTCTCGAATGTTTTGAACTCATGCATACATGAGGAGTTTCAAAACACAAACTTTCATATTTTATCTATTAATTATATATTATTATCATAGTTATCAAACAAATAGTGGATCCAAATCACGAATTGTTCCATTTTGAATTTTTTCGAACTGAAACCACGTAAGTGGAAGTCATTAATTCACTGACCTTCAATTCAAACTTTCAATGATTCAATGATAAATTAGGTAATTCCTACGAAAATTGTACAAGAACCCTTGCGATTTACTCATGAGACTGCTCATCAAATTTTCATGCAAGTTGAGAGAGTTGAACCAGACATGACATATTTAACCAACAGCAGTTCAGTGTTCACCTGCTTTCCCATTATAACGACATAAAGAGCTGTTCCTGTTCCATTATAATCATATGGAGATATAGGATCAGTTTGTTCATTATATTTCCAAGAAATAGAAATTCACTAGATTTCAGATTGCTGTACAAAATGTTGTTTCCACCATGCTGTGAATTCTCAAGAGTTCAGGTTTAGAACATCATCTAGAATACAAATTAATTTTGTTGCCTTGGAAAATTTCTTCCCCTATGATTAGGTCCAAAAATGGCTCAAACAGTTCGGAGAAATTAACGGTCACGAAAATTTTGGTGGGACAGTCGAACTGTCGAAAGATCCCCAAATATTGTTATATCTAAATTAAAATTAAAATTAAATGTGTCTCCTAAAATATACTAATACATTATAATCATCATTATTATCGATCTCAATCCCATCGAGTCAGACTTGTCCACGTTTGATTTGGTGTCATTGAATAAAATCAGCATTAAATCGAATTATGTGTTTTATGCTTGATTTCCAGTATCATTATCCAATATACACTTTTCATATACTCTTATAGCAAGTAAGAAAAGAGTCATGCTTGAGTTGTGAGTTACGGCGGACAAGTCAACCTAGGATTATTGCTTATTATTTTGTAGATGACCTTGTTATTGGAGTACTAGCGGTTTTATTGGACTGCACATGGCTTGTTGATTGTTTCTAGACGATTGTTCTAGAATTTTAGCAATCTCCCTGACGGCGGCCGATATTCTTGTTATGTAGCGACCCAGGTCCCAGATGCAAGGGCTGACCAACTAACTAACTAAGTAACACTAACAAGAACAACAGTTCAAATTGAGGGGAAAATAAACTGCATGTTTGATGTTATGTCCTGATTCAGGGTTGCACTAAGCTAATAGAGGGCATTTCAATCTTGAATCTTACACTCTAATTAATAAAACGAATAAATGAGTGTCCGCACGTGGGCGCATGTATAAATTATCATATACCGCGCGCAAGGGAGAATATGACATTAGTTCAAACTTCTGACCGCGTGTTTCGTTTCTGCCTTTTATCGCGATTGAAGCTTCTTGAATTTCCGGATTTCACCTTGCCCAACTTTTTAGGTTAACGGTTTTTGTTCACAGTTCAGTTCCAAAATGATGGAGTGTTGCACAAAAAGATTACAAATTTACCCGGCTGCAGTAAAATAATGTGGTATTTAAAACATTACAAAACCCAGTGATTTGGACTAAGGCTAAATCTAATAGTAATATCCGGTCACCTAATGTGAAATGAAACTTGAACTACATTATTTTATATTTCCTGTCAGTTTTGAAAACTTAAAACAGTTCCGTTGATTCTATTTATAAAGATCTGCGTAGAGATAGGTGATATCAGTGAGATCGGTGAGACTCGTTATGCTTCAGACAGATTGGTCGTTTAACATTATTTTACCATTGAAATAAACCTTGTAAAGTTATATCTTCTGGTTTCTCACACTCATTATACTGCCAAAGAACTTTAATCAGTTCCCGCTACGGTTTTGAAATCGGACCCGGTATTGTCCAAGACATAACCCTGATAGCCCTGATTCTATTTCCGGGATTCAATGTGAAACCAGAGGTATTTTCTCTAATCAGCGCTCCTTAAAATTTATATAAGGGAACGCTTATTAGATAAAACAATATAAGCTTTAAATCAGTTTAACATTTTCTTTTAATCATTAGATTCTATCGTGTATTGACTATCGACATGGTTGTTCTTATTAATGCCATCTGTTCTTGTTGCCATCAGACATGTCCACCATGCGAGCATGTATTATTATTTTAAATATCCTGAATTATACACATAATTCCTCGAACATCGCCACAACATTCATTAATAATCCCTCATAAACGGTTACCTTTATCCGCTTCAATACATCAAGTTTTATCAAGTATAATTCCCCCAATTTTGGTTGCATGTTACTGCTTGTCTGTGATCACACCATTAACCTTGCACCTTGTCATCGGCAGCACTGCACTCGGGGACCCACAAAACCGCACATGATCAACAGTAAAATACATCTACAATATTTGCAAAGAGAGATTAGTGTGGGTCCCTGTGTCTCTTGCTTGCCATTTACAACACATTTGCACGTTTCTTACCTGTTGTGCAAGATTTTAATAAAGAGAAATGTGAGGGATAATGATCATGATCTGTACTTACTGTGCACTGTGCAGCATGCTTGATTTATACTGCTAATTTAGGATCTTGCTTCATCGTGGAATTATATTAGTATTATTCTCTGATTAGAAACTGTCAGTTTGGATGATATGATGTAGTTTTTTCCGATTTTGTCATGCACGTATTGGATGGTAATACTTGTCGTTGTACTATGGGTACTTTTGATGTGCCTTATGAATTTAGAAACTATTATGCGCACATAAGTTCTTTCCTTTTGAATTGTTAATCTGTGTTACAGATTTTTTACAAGTCCTAGTACACTTCTACGTGTTTTCGTGAACGACCTGTGAGATTCATGATTGTGTTAGTTACAAAATCTGATTTCTAATCTTAGTCTCACAATGAACGGCATTATATTTCTATTTCAACCATAATGCATTTCATTGAAACGTTCATGTGTCTCAGCTACAAGGTGTTTTATAGTTTTCAATCCTCCCTATAAATCAGAGCTCTTACAACCTGATACGATAAACCAATCAGAGAGCGGTACAACCATCACGTGATACTGAATACCCAATCGGAGTGCTCGCTCCAGTAGCCAATCAAGGCCTTTGATCTGTGTTCTCACAATCTGTTCAATTGAAAATTGAAGAAATCTGAGATAGCCGTGAGACAGTTGAGTAAGCTGGGATTGATTATGACAGTGATTACAATTCATGATGCTAGTTAGCATATGAAAACCTGGCAATCCGTATCACTTAATGAAAGCTGTGTTCGAATCATTTTTTATAATGTACCTGAACAGTTGTATGCTATAAATTTCAGGAGCTGTAAGCTGTGATAAAATCTTTAATTTGTCACAGATCTGCTCGTATAGGTTTATTGTTCCAATCATCTTGATTTTTTTACTTTTTTATTACTTATTCACTTTTTACGCCTTGATAGTTGGATTTGTACTATTTATAACGTAGCACACTTGTTGGTTTTAAACCCCCCTGCGTAGGGAAACGTATTAATCCACTAACCTTGTTTTAGCAAGCTACTAAATCGAGACCCAACCCTACCTCCTTGGAGTTCTGATTAGTAAACCACCCTAACTACACCCTATTGTTAGGGTCAACCAATGGTTCTTGTATTCATACACATTTCAGTAACTTGTTTGCCTTATTCCTTTTACCCTTCGTTTCAAATAAAAAACATCCACTGAACTATATGACGCAAATCTAAATGCTAATCTCCATTACAATCAAAACCAACACCTCAACTCCAATTCACACGTGAAAATGATCTAATGTGTGGTTTAACATGTGGTAAAAGGAGACATGCAACGTGTCACGTGACATACCACATACCACGTGACATACCACGTGACATGCCACGTGACATGCCACGTGACATGCCATGTCACTGATTAATACACACTACACAGCTCCTGCTACAGACCTGGGGGGGGGTCGGGTGTGATGGCTGCTGATTAATATTACAGCTGCTTACTGAGAGAGTGTTATTAATCATATCTGGATCTCTACTCTAAATGAAAGTTCACCACCGAGGATATTTCGTCATTAATCTGGTCTGACGGTGTAGGATTAGTCACTTTCTAGTTTCTGGTCTAGGACATGTCATTTACCAATGTTCTATCTCGCTCAATTGAACACATTTTGTATTACTGTTCGTGCTATTTAGTTTGTCTACAGCTCTCGTATCTCTTTGGTTTTTACTTACACTAAGGTCGAGAATTGATAGGTGGCAGCGCGTCTGACAACTATTTATATTAGCCGATAATTATAACTTGTCTCCTGATGAAACGCAGAATAAATTTCTCCATCTCTCAGTAGCTAGTACAACATGATACTGTTAGCCCTGCTAACCCTCCTCCCTCTATCCTCCTCTCTGGATATTGTTAAAAGATACGACTGGGGAGCTGAGCCTACCGACACTGCCGGGGTATCTCTAACCAGGATAACTGATATCGTTATCGGAAATGAGGGTTAGTTGCTTTCTTGTTAAACTTCACAATCTGAGAACTGCAATTTAAAATTGACTCGTTTTATATAGGCAGTGGTTTTCCAACAAGTTCAACAACAATTATCCATTATATCATCCGCATATCTTAATCACATGAAGTTATAACTGAAGAAGAAATTTGAGACCCCTGTGCCCACAGATTGGGTACCACTAACCACTTCCCCACCAAATAAGTAGACGTGACAAAGGTCGCACTTTCTCAACCCTAACATTACACAACAGTCGTCCCAGGAGCCGCTGAGTGCACCACAATGGAAGCTTGTCAGATATTTCTCCGGTCGCTTCAACAGCGAGATATTGGAGCTGGAAATCCGGATCTGAAGTTCAACTTCTATGTGAGCAGCATGGGGGATGTTTATGAGGGTGTGGGGTGGACCAGACAGGTACGTTATACTTATAGTTAATGGTTGTTTTAATTGTAGTTTAATTGATTGATAAAGGAGCACATCTTGGATGGATTTGTTTCCTAATTCGATCACTTAGTTGTAGTCAATACTCAATAGTTGAATGTAAATTAATACACGTCCTGTAAAAATTAAAAAGGTTAATGTTAATTACTTTAAGCGCTGCACTCCGCACAGTTTCTTGACTACGGGTACCTTATTTACTATCGTAGTTAATCGCAAAAATGACGTCTTTTAAATGCAAAATTACAATCACCTGCAGCCCTACATCAAAGCAGTTAACCGATGAACAGCTATTAAAGATTTTAATAATTCGTAAGATTAATTAATGAAATGGTAATTCGCAGGGAAGTTTCACGTCAAAGTACGCTAGCAGCGCACTTGGAATAGCGTATCTTGGGGATTTCAGTTCCGGAATATCTGCTGGAGCAAAACAAGCCATCCTAGACATCATTAAATTGGTAATTTATTAATTGATCATTAATACCTTAATAATCCATACGATCTTCATATGAATTTTGAGCTTTGTAACGTTTTCTTTGAAATATGTCTTTTACACACCATTAAACTTAAATGCATCAGCTATTCCATGTTTTCAACAATTTACTAAGTTATGTAAGTAACTAACTACATTTATACTTCACAGGGTTACCAAGCGGAAGGAATCAACATAGACTCACAGTTTTGTATGATGTTTACATGTGTACCAGCCTTAAAAAGCGGAGCTGGGATACTGGGACCTTCTTGTCCTGGGGGAGATACTTACAATGATATCTCCAACTGGGAACCTCTCCGTAAGTCGTATTAGATAATTATTTAATTAGTTAATTAATTAAATAACTTTTCATTGTATCATTTCTAGAACACCCCCATCCCATTTGTCCGAAATGGAAAAAATTCTTTGGAAAACGATGTTACGAAATTATTATTAAAATGTGATGGTTAAAATACTAAGAACCCTAATCTGATCCCCCTCCTTATTAGCTTATCTAACAACCTCTTATCTTTAAACAACCTCTTATCTAATAACCTCTTACAGCTGGAGTGCAACCCCTTCATGTTAACAGACCGTGTGGGTGTGGTAAGCTGGACCCCCCTTCTAACGGACGGGTGGAGTACGCTTCTTACGATGTGGGCAGCAAGGCTACCTACTTCTGTCTTGACGGGTTAGTTAGTTAGTTAGTTAGTTAGTTAGTTAGTTAGTTAGTTAGTTAGGTAGGTAGTTAGTTAGTTAGTTAGTTAGTTAGTTAGTTAGTTAGTTAGTTAGTTAGTTAGTTAGTTAGTTATTTAGTTATTTAGTTAATTAGTTAGTTAGTTAGTTAGTTAGTTAGTTAGTTAGTTAGTTAGTTAGTTAGTTAGTTAGTTAGTTAGTTAGTTAGTTAGTTAGTTAGTTAGTTAGTTAGTTAGTTAGTTAGTTAGTTAGTTAGTTAAATTTAGAAATTAATTTTTATCAATCGCTTTTGATTTCAAGATATCATTAACTTAAATCTTAACAATACGTATTTCAAAAGTTAAGTATTATTCTTAGAATTAAAATCCCAGATTTGAACTGATTGGAACGAACGAACAGACCTGTGAAGTAAGCGGAGCTTGGGGAGACCTCTCTATCAACTCCCCTTACTGTGTTGGTAGGTTATACTAAAGTACTAACTAAAGTACTAACTAAAGTGTAAAATCCGGATTGGAATATTATTTATGAGTAGTTGAAATGCTTTCTTGGGTAAATTTCTATTGATCCCATTTGATGCGACAAGGAAAACTGAAAAGGCTCTTATCAGGAATGGAATTATAATTATAAAGGGCAAGAAGAGATATTTTCAGATCATCAAAAGTAGTTTTGAGATTTTGAGTCAAGGCTGAAGGGCTAAAAGCCTCAACTTTACATCATAAATCAAACTAAATTTCCTCCTAGATCCATCCCGGGGGCTGATAATCGTACCGAAGAAAGTATGGGATGTAGTGAGTGAGGAAGCAGAGTTCATCGAAGGAGGCTTCCCCATTGCTACTTTCTTTGTTGACGTGGCGTCTGATGCGTACTGTGTTGATGATAGCGACTGTCGGTAAGTGTTTCTCTTTCACTTTCATGTCCATGTTTACTTTCACTTTCGTTTTCAGACATGGCTGATGGCATGGTTTGTTTTTTAAACTTTTGGTCGACAACTAGTTACAATACAGAATACTTATTCATTACACTTTTAAAAAGGTTGAAGCTGAAGCAGCTGAAAAAAGATGCGTGGGATAATAACCAAGAAAAGGACGTGCTGTGTAACTTTTACATAGCTAAAACTGGTATTGTCTACGAAGGTCGGGGATGGGGCATAAAGGTAAGCTTATAATACTGAGCATCTCTTATCAGCAATAAGACTGATTTAAATAGATATGTGTCTGATTTGATGAGTTTATTAATGGATTTCATGATCCGTCAGATAAATGTGACGCGTTGATATCTAATAACTTTGCTTGGTCTCAAACTAGTTCCATTACCAGGGTGCCTACACGGCCGACATTCTCAAGACACAGGGGATTTGTTTCCTAGGTCTGGACGCTGTTACCTCCAAGAAAGCAGAGCACACTCTTTTTAAGTTTATCAAGGATGCACGGGATGCCAAGAAGTAAGGGTTTGTTACTTTGAAACTGGGATCTGTGTGCCCCTGTAAATAGGTGCATGTTCACTTTAGCAACTTTCACTTTCACCCTTTATTCTTTCGTTCTCACTTTGAACTTTTAAAAGTTTCTTCACCGCAGCTATCATTCCATTTCAAATTCATTTACAACCCCTCGCCTGCTCACAGATTAAGAACAGTATTCACCTTTTCAAGTCTGTCACTCTCTTCTACCAACATCCATTGCAAGTTTGCCTACAAATTCAAATAAATTATGCCACGATTCTCAATTTTAGTCATCTACTTCAACCTTATCAATGTGTATTTTTAGCGTTTGCATCGAAATAGATAATTGTTTGACTCTTCAATCTTCATTCAGATTTTCGCTTGGAATTTAATTTCACTTTCACTTTCAGAGTAAGTTACGATGGCGACGGTTTCTGTTTCCAGACTAAATGTCCGGGAAGTGTCGATGCGAAGTTCTGCCGAACAGTTCAGAACTGGATGATGAGATCTGACAGTCCTCAGTACACCAATAAGTACTGCTTACCTGATCCCATACCTGAAGATACTAGAGCTCCTGGTACTTTTACCTTTCACTTTAACAACTTCTAATTTCATTAATCTAATAAATTTAACAATTTTGACAACTATTTTCACTTTTACTTATGCCATGAATCACGAAACTTTTAAAAAGGTTTTTACGTACACACAACAGTCAACACAGTCCTTGATCAATCAGCTCTTCAAACATAAAATAACCACTCGTTTAAAAACCAATTAAATATTAATGTGCGTGTACTTTTTCAGCATTGTCTTGTCGTCACAAGAAGAAGCACGACACGTGGCTGAACTACCAGGGAACGAAGAGTGTTTCCGTGTCCGGGTGTCCGTGTCTAGCCTGGTCTGATCAGAGTATTGTTCAGCACCACTTCTACCCTGAGGTATTTGATAATGTAATTACTAATTACATGGTAATTACTAATTACATGGTAATTACTAATTACATGGTAATTACTAATTACATGGTAATTACTAATTACATGGTAATTACTAATTACATGGTAATTACTAATTACATGGTAATTACTAATTACATGGTAATTACTAATTACATACATAGTTAGAGTTGAATCGTAGTTAGTCGTTAGATGATTAGTGGTTTGATCATACAACCCATACCATTTTTGCTTAACATAATATGTGGAGGTAAACTACAAGTCAATAGCTTCGGGGTCTGTTAAATAGTTAGATTTTAGCCACTAATTGCATTGGATAATTGACTTATCAAATAATAAGTCAATTAAACTCAGGTGTTCCCATACGCGGAGCTGGAATCAAACTTCTGTCGTAATCCTGACATGTCTGATAGCGGCCCCTGGTGTATTACTGATAGTAGCTGCGGGAATGGCGGCATGGACTCCTGTGCTATCCCTCAGTGTGGTGAGTTTCAGTAATTAGTTGATTAATTACGAAATTAGCTGATAACTTCCATATCTAATTAGGTAATTATACAGCTTGTTGTAGTATTACAATATGCTTTGTTTGGATACATTTTATCCTTTTAAAGTTTAAAGGCCCTTTAAAGGCGAAGCGTTGAACAGGTCAATAAAATAGAACTTGTTGTAAGTTTATTTTAAGATTAGTTAATTAAGTTAATTATCTCATTAACCGATTAGAGGGGGAGTATTGTTTTGAAGAGAACCCGTTTGGGTGTGCGTACCACCAATCCCAGTGCTATTTGCCCTTCTGTAGTGAGTTCAATGTTAGGCAAAACAAATAATTCAACGACATTTATATGTCCAGATAAAAATGTATATTGTTTCCCGAAGAAATTCGCTGAAGGACTTATAGTTTCTTAATGTTCCTGCTAATCAACAGATTATATTCTCAAATATTTTATGTCTTAAAGTTGTCTCATCAATTGTTGTCCCTACGCAACTCATTTTTTGTCATTTTAAATATTAGCAAAAGTTTATCGAGATCAGTATCGCTTGAAGTTGGATTAGACCATCCGTTATTATCAAGTATTCTATTTGATCTTCATGTTGAAATATTAACGTTTAAAAACGATTTTTACATGAATGATATGATTTCAGCTGATTTGCAAGAAAACAATTAATCGGTAGTGCATGTTGAAATAAAATTTATAATTAATACTCTAGTAGCAGGGCATAGTTGAGTGTGCACTTCGATGTATACGATTTCTGACAAGACAGGCTTGTTTGTTAGGTCATTCTAAACCAGAATCGTTTAGGTGGACAATTTGTTTCGCTAGAGACAACCCTACAGGGCAAATTTTCTAAATTACCCTCAGTCGCGTATACGGGATTTTTGTATTTCGGCTCCTGAAGGTCATAGAGACTTCATTTTTGGCGTAAAATTACCGCAGTGGCCATATTTATATACAACTTATTAATCAATGTATGGTCTAAAATTGTTTGTTCCCGAGATATCTGCAAAAAACTAATTTAAGCTCAGGCGTAGGCACAAATTTCATCAAATTTGTATCTCAGCTTCTGAAGTTCTTAGCGACTCAAACTTTGGCTTAAAATGACTGCAATGCACATGTTTATATTGACACTATAAAGGTCATAAAGGTCCAAAATGCTTGCTTTTGGAAAAAATCCAGAAAAACTGATTTTCACTGGGGCGAGTGAGAAAAATCTACTCTAGAAGCTAATTGAAATGGAGCAACACAAATAGTTTCAGAAGCTCCTTCCAGCTATCTTATCTTATCCCCAAATGTATACATCTAACCATCTCTCTGGCTACTTCAAACCACTTCAATCCCCAAATTTATACATCTGACCATCTCCCTGGTTGCTTCCATCTCGTTAAAGCCGGGGCTCGACCGGGACCGCTTGTTTGGCCGGGACTGGGACTGGGAAAAAGTGCCAGGACCGGGATTAAGACCGGACCGGGATTAGGGATCGGGATTAAGCCGGGATCCCGTTTTTACCACAAGTTGGGCTCTCTCCAGTACTGTTTGGCTATTATGGCTAATCAACTCCAATCCAACTTCATGTAGTAGAATCTACTTCTAGTTTCCTTCAATCCTGCTACCTCCACTCTAGCTCCTTCTAGCAATCTCTGAATACTATTTCCTGCTCTATCTAGCTTCCACCAACACCCAATAATTGTTGTTTAAATGTTACCACTATAAGCACCTGCAAATTCTATTCTGTTTTTACCTAATTCATGCTACCTCCAGGCCCCAGCTAGAATTTGAGGGTGCTTGTGCTTTCTGTATATAGCATAATGTAGTCTGAGTTTGCTGGATAGGACTAGAATTTGCAGGTGCTGGTGGTAGCTGAACAATAATTAGTGGGTGTTGGTGGAAGCTAGATGGAGCAGGAAGTACATAGCATTCAGAGGTTGCTAGAAATAGCAGGTTTCCTCTTCCTCGATGAGCTGGAAATTGTTGAATGCAGCTGAGGCCGCCGGAAAGAGCCAGAATAAATTGTTGCTGGCGGACCGGCGATGCTATAAAAGGCAAGAGGTAGCTTAAGTTAAGTTTGCTAGAAAGAGCAGAGGTTAGAGGGGGCCTTGCAGTAGTAGCTAAATAGATGTAGCCGAAGTAGGTGAAAAGAGCTGGAATTGGTGGTTTCTGCCCACTGGTGGTACCTGTAAAGAGCAGGAGGTAGCATTCAGAGGTTGCTAGAAAGAACTAAAATTATAACGTGCTGGTGGTAGCTAGGTAGATATAGGCATGGCTTGGAGGTAGCAGAATTATAGGTAGCTAGAAGTAGATTCTACTTCATGAGGTGGGATTGAAGTTGATTAGCCATAATAGTCAAACAGTACTGGAGAGAGCCCAACTTGTGGTAGCTATAACGAGAAAGTTTGATGTTCATGTATAAATTTGGGGATTGAAGTAGTTTGAAGTAGCCAGAGAGATGGTTAGATGTATACATTTGGGGATAAGATAAGATAGCTGGAAGGAGCTTCTGAAACTGAATTGTGTTGCTCCATAAACCCTCCATAAATATTATCTGAATGTGTTCATGCTGAAAATTTTGCTGTGCTGCAAGTAAAGTGTCTGTAAGACTTTTTTAGACCAGGATACCAAAATTAATTACATGTTTGATGTTACTATTTTAGGATGCACGAAAGTTAAAACAGTTTTTAATGAATATCTCCAAAGCTAAGCACTATAAAACCTATGTTGCTTTATTGCTTGTATGTAAATGTGGCTTTTGCAGTCAGTTTGAGCTAAAAGAGAGGCCCCTACAACGTTCTGAAGCCGAGATACAAAAGTCATATATTTGCGCCTGAGAGTAATTTAAAATTTTCCCCCTAGGGTTGGAACTACTGATAGAAATTGCGTACCTTATAAATTCTGATCCAGAATGACCTTACAAAGGACCTGGTTTCTAGAAAATTTGTAGACACCAAACTGCATATTCGATTTCAATTAGCTTCTAGAGTAGATTTTTTTCACTCGCCACAGTGAAAATCAGTTTTTCTGGATTTTTTCCAAAAGCAAGCATTTTGGACCTTTATGACCTTTATAGTGTCAATATAAACATGTGCATTGCAGTCATTTTAAGCCAAAGTTTGAGTCGCTAAGAACTTCAGAAGCTGAGATACAAATTTGATGAAATTTGTGCCTACGCCTGAGCTTAAATTAGTTTTTTGCAGATATCTCGGGAAAAAACAATTTTAGACCATACATTGATTAATAAGTTGTATATAAATATGGCCACTGCGGTAATTTTACGCCAAAAATAAAGTCTCCATGACCTTCAGGAGCCGAAATACAAAAATCCCGTATACGCGACTGAGGGTAATTTAGAAAATTTGCCCTGTAGGGTTGTCTCTAGCGAAACAAATTGTCCACCTAAACGATTCTGGTTTATAATGACCTAACAAACAACCCTGTGTTGTCAGAAATCGTATACATCGAAGTGCACACTCAACTATGCCCTGCTACTAGAGTATAATAATAGATAAAAAATAGATGTTGCGATTTGATTTTTTTAACCTAAATTGGTCTTTTGTCCTTTGATTATTCAGTTTTACGACTACAATATTTCTTTCTATAAATATTCCAATTATTGCGAAATTCGATTTTTTATCAATTTTATTTTCGACTGCAGTTCCTTTCATTTCCGTAAAAATACACTTTCTATTTAATGAACAAAGTGTTATTTTTATGCAAAACACGACACAACTTAACTTTTACTAAACTCAATCTATTTTCCAGCTGCTGCAGTGTCATTTAGCCAGCACTCCGCAATGAGGTACACCCTGCAGAGAACCAAGTCTACTTACACTGACAAACTATCCATGACCATCAAGCCTGATACTCTCAATGCTAGGTAATTGTTAACGCGTTACGCGACTGGCCTTGATTATACTTCGTCCATTGAGTCATTTAAAAAGTTAAACTTATCTTCCAATGTGAGAAATGTTTCAAAATTTAATAATACGTAGCCGGTACGGCAGTAATAGAAACATTAAGTTTAAAGTTTAATTTGCACTCAGGTTGATACGAATAGAAGGAGGGATGTTGATGGATGATCCTGAATTAGCTAACTTCTGGGATATCTCACTGGTAGGTTTTGTTAACGTGCATTAAATAATGAAGGTAAAATTGTAAAATTAAAGCGTCACGTGACAAGCGCACGTGCAACAGCTGTCAAAACGAATAATTGATTACCACAAATAACTTCAAATCATCACCCATAAAATTTATTTAAAATTGCCCTCAGGTAAACGGGACAGTAAAAGTAATAATGCACCTCACACACGGGGACAACATAGCAGAGTTTGAGACTGTCAGTGAGGAGGTCCTCCCTCTGGGAACTAGTTCTACTATACAGATACTGAGGAAGAACCACAAGGTCCTACTGAGAATCAACGGAGTGGACACTATCGAGAAGATTTCTGTTAATTTCACTGAGAGTAAGTTTTCTACGCATTTTAAATAGCGCTAGTTAGTTCTGGGTAGTATAATGTGTGACCTTAAATCGTTGACTTGTCTGTGGTTACATTAGGGATATGAATGTTAAACGGCCTAATAGGTCGCCTAATTTACCTTCCATTTTAACGGGAATTATTGAAATATTCTGAAAGTTGTAGATATCCAGACATTGAGACATACGTGTGACTTTTTACCAAGATTTTAGCTAAGTGAGTATAAATAGAACCCACTAACCTGACCAACTAACAACTAATCATTAACAACTATTTCAGTCGGAGATAACGTGATGTTCTTTAAGCCACAGGAGTATATTCTGGGCCATTATTTGACGGGAGATCTGTTTCAAGGCTGCATGGCTGGTATGTATAATTGATTACAATAAATTAATATGATTTATTAATGATTATGTAATATTTGATTTGTGGATTTAGTTAATTACGCAGTCATGGAAAAATGTATCGATGAGTTATTTCAAGGTCTAGATCTAACCACCATTAAGTAATTTTATTATATTCTGTTATATTCTATGAATAACATGTTTTATAGTTATATTCTATTCTAATAACTTAATAATAATATGTTTTATAACGTTCCAGATGCTGTATTCAACAGAGACGATCTCTTTGCCGTAGCAACCGGAAGTTTGCCTGCGCGAGGAGAGATGATTATGGAGGGTAAGTGGAAGTGAGATTGAAAGATAAAAACAATAAAAGTTTTGATTTTAAAGAAAAGGTTTCAGTTAAACTCTACGATTCACTTCTCATTAACATACTTAAAATCTTTACAGAAATAGATGACGACGGGTGCTCAGCGGTGTTGCCGTTCCTGTGGGGTGATATTGATATAGTAACCACCCCTCCACCCACCACTAAACCTCCCACCACGCAGCCAATCATGTCAACTGTAAGTTTAAAACTAAATAAGCCTTGTTATATTATTCAGAATCAAAACCCTTATTTGTGCCATACTTCAGAAGGTTAACTTCATTCCTAATTTAGCCTCACCTTTTTTAGTTCAATCATATGTTCACAATGATTAATTACTTTATCTAGTCGTAATACGGTAACATTTTCCAAAACGGTTATCCAATACCATAATAATTGATTTTTATGAGGTAGATGACATCACATTTAAACTCCTCAGGCGCAGCCGGTAGTTAACAAGAAAAGCAATCTTCCTTATATTATCATAGGAGTAGTTATTTTAGTGATAATTATAGTCCTTCTCATTGGGTGCATCCTCTTTAAGCGTCATAACAGAGATAAGGGGGTAAGTACTTGTCAATTTCCAAACACAAGGAAATGTTTTAGCTAGTTTTTCTCCAAACTGGCTTTAAAATATTGAAAATGTGATTTTATTTCGGGATTGAAATCTGCTCTCCATATGCACTGTAATATAATTTAATAGCTTTAAGTTAATTTAATATTTTAAGTTAATAACTATAAGTTAACCTGTTATTTTACAGGTATACAAAGTAGATGAAGCTATCACAACGAAGTGGGACTGGAAGAAAGGGATACTCCCCGTCCTCTCAGAAACCAAACAACCAGGTTCATACGACAAAATCAATGCGAACCCTGATGAGTCTCCTGAGGTGTTTGCTTGATAGTTTTCAGTTTGGTATTCAGTGAATATAATGCGAATATACAGCGGATAAAGCTGCTTGGAGGAGCAGATTGGAATGTTATTTGAGGGATATCTCGGCTTAAGTTGGAGGGTCAAACAATTCGGCCCTAGTGTACGCTGCTGCAATTCATGTGAAGAACATTCCGTCCGAACGAATTATTTTGGACTTGAGGAGAATGAGGAAGATTATTCCGTGCTAAATGGAGTTCTTAACATCGCACTTTTGACTATTTTATCACAAGTTCATTGTGCTATCTTGACACGTGTTATAATGTTGATGAAGAAAACCTGTGTTTATGAGGTACTGTTCAGATTCTTAACGTGGACATTTATTGACCGTAGACATTTATTAACCGTGGATTAAAGCAGCACCATAACATTATGACCATCTTCAGAAGGGCCTAGGATAACCTTGTACCATCGCCGTACAAATGGACTTACGTTTCTTTACAATGTAAAGTATAATTTGTTTTATTTATGATTTTATATGCCAGATAATGATGACTTACTTAAGCAGTGTTAATGTTATTGTAATGTTGAAGTTAAGGATGTGGTAATATTAATAAGGAAAGATAACCTCCCCGGTCCGGCCCTATATTTCAAAATATGCTCCCCTGAGCTGAAGTCTTGCTGAAGTCTTGTTATAATAACTACAAGAACCCTCACTAACCAGAGCCCAAGTGCGTCGCGTAGTACGCGTAAGCACATGGTGGGTGAAGCTGAAGTACGCTTACATTGGGACCCCAGGCTGATAGTGTTCATGAACACATAAATATAAGCTGCGGTGAAATGGCAGGCTCAGCTCTGCCCAGTATACTTATAGTAAAAGTACACGGACTTATTTTTTCGTGAAAAATTCTGTTCTCTAAAAAATTTACACACTTTGAATTTCCCTTTTTAATTCTTACATCTTTAAGTTTAAAAACATGCATCACTGTGTCTGCAAGTGCAACTATAGCCCACTTGCCACTGAACACGCCTTCTCTTACTGGGCGGCGCTCAGCCTGTCATTCCGCCGAATCTATTATGTTTATGAACATAATAGCCTGGGGTCCCCAGGTAAGCCTTCTCACCAGCTAGACCGGTTTAATCTATATCATTATCAGATTCACGATGTCAATCCTTCGCAGCTCGGCGAGGCCCAGTCTAGTGGTGCATCTCGCCGATCTACTGAAGATTGCGAGAAGCATTATTTGATAGGTACAACAATCATACCTTATTATAATCTATGTAATAAGCGCCAAGTGTTTATTTTTCTCTCTGATTTTGATAAATCTAGCACCAAAAGTTGGAAAAAAATGGCGTTTGATCGCCACATGCGCTTACTTTTGCACAATTGTGCTTCCAGTGAATTTATATTATTCAGACTTTGAAGCAACCTTTGGTACCAAATTCATTGAAATCAGAGATTAAAAGATTAAAAACTTTTAATTTTAAAATTTTTACGTCAGCAATAATTTCTATTTATGCTCTATATAAGCCTAAGGCGCATCCACATTTGTATTCATGATAATAAAAACTTCCGCGATTTAAACATTTTCAACTTGGAAGTCGAACTTTTTACTTCTCAGATTATAAATTCGGGGTTCTAATTTTACTTATAGGCCTATTGTCTGCATAATATCTAATTAATTAAGTATTACTGAAATTTATATCAGCTAACTGTGCGACAATTATTTAGAGCTTGCTGTATTATAAACGTTTTGGTAATAAAGTTTTAACAGAGGTAAGAAGTGAGTTTCATTAAAATTCTCCGGGAAAAATATAGTGAAATTGACAAAAACAATAATTCCAGCCAGGTCTTTATAAACGTTTTTGGTAACTGTGATAATTACAAAACTTACTTTTTTTTATAATGATGGAGTTATCTCGAAGAAGATCCAGCTGTGGTTCAAGAGTATGAATTTACAATTTAGGTGCCACGCGCCAACTCTCAACTACAAGATGGTTTTTACTTTTTAGGTGGCTAAAAGTAAAATATTTTGATTAACACCGCTGTTTTCCCCGCTTAATAAATAATCCCTGTACAATTTTGATAACCATGCTCCGCTTTAGTTCAACTTCAACTCGGTTAAGTTTGTTAAAATTAGGTAAGTGATATTAATTCAACTGCCGATCAAGTAAACGATTCGGATTAGTGCAAGTCATGGCCTCCCACGAATGAACGAGGTGATCATGATATTACGAACTTAAAGTTTGTTAATGGATCTCACATTTTATTTGTTATTCTGTTAAGTGTTATAATGGTGAATCGTTTCAACATGAGTAGCTTCGTTTTATTTTTAGAACCCTAACTGCTAATCGTTCATGAAAAGGGCAGTTCTCACTCAAAGTCAAACAATATTTCATCTCAAATTTTTGACCCTGACCCTGACCCTGACCCTGACCCTGACCCTGACCCTGACCCTGACCCTGACCCTGACCCTGACCCTGACCCTGACCCTGACCCTGACCCTGACCTAGTACCCTTACCCTAACCTTAACCCTAACTCTGACCCAGGACCCTGACCCTGACCCTCACACCATGACCCTAACCCGATCAATTGACCAGGACCCAGGACCCTGACCCTGACCCTGACCCTGACCCTGACCCTGACCCTGACCCTGACCCAGGATCCTAACCCTAACCCTAACCCTTACCCTTACCCTTACCCTAACCCTTACCCTTACCCTTACCCTTACCCTTACCCTTACCCTTACCCTTACCCTAACTCTGACCCAGAACCCTGACCCTGACCCTGACCCTCACACCAGCTGACCCTAACCCGATCAATTGACCCTGACCCTGACCCTGACCCTGACCCTGACCCTGACCCTGACCCTGACCCTGACCCTGACCCTGACCCTGACCCTGACCCTGACCCTGACCCTGACCCTGACCCTGACTCTCAGACCCTGACCCGATCAATCGACCCCAGTGTAATTACATGAGGGTCAATTGTCGGGGGGTCAATTGTCGGGGGGTCGATTGTCGGGGGTCAATTGTCGCGGTACCGTTTGGACTGATCAATTCTATCCAATGATTGCAAATACTCCAGCCGGCTCACAGTCGATCAGGGTACAGGAGGAACGGATCTTAATATAATCAAGGAGTGTGATGACGTAATTATCCTCAAGGGGGAACTAAGGTGTGATGAAATGGTGCTAATAACTGCTAGATACGTTGATTGAGTTTGCCCCTAACCTATAATATTCGTTGATTATATTTATAAAGTTAAATACTATTGGATACGTGAAGGCACTCTGAATAGAATTGCTCACCTAATGCGGATTTCGACTCAGCGGGTAAATACTCCTAACTGCGACAGTGAAATCCGGGCCGAAGGCCGGGTTCCAATAGTACTCCCATATAGATTATAGAGGTTAAAATTGGAAGGTCCCCCATCCCACCCCTCCCCTAAAATTATAAAGAGTCTCCTATATTGAATACAAGCTTAAATTAGATTGTCTCAAACCCCTCCCTAGAAAGATAAAGAATCTCACCAGAAATTCAGGCTAAATATAGATTTCTCCCACCACTCCTCTCCAATTATTCAATTATAAAGAACCTCTCGAATTCCCAGCTTCGTGGGCTTTAAGTAGAAATAACATAAATACTAAATAGTTGAAGCTTTTAGACATAGTTTAAATTTAACTCTCGCTTCTTCAACTGATAGATTGAAAATAGTTTCGTTTCTATCATGAACCTGCCATGATTATTGATTATATTTATCGAGCATTAACTAATAAACGCTTTTCTCAATGCCTAACCAAATCTATTTAAATGACCGACATATCAAACTTAAATACGACAAACCAGAAACCAAATTTAAACTTTTAAAGATATTAAACTAAATATAGTCCCTATCCGGCATCTGCTTTATATAGGTTAATTTACCGACTATTTGGATCTGGACATTATCACCACATAAATAACAACCTCTTACCTAGTCAGCGACCACGGAGCCATCAAGACTATCATTTCCATATACGGTAACCCTCTCTTGCTGTGGCGTCAATGTCAGGCATTATTCCATTACTGCCATTAGAACGGTGCCCTTACATGGTGTTGCTAAAGCCACTGCTCTGCCTCATCATGAAACTCGCATGCCTATAAAGTCGGTCAAAAATCGCTCAGTTCAGATTTCTCTGCACTGCACTTGCTCATTTGGTGGTTTCTGTGTTTGTTGCCGTACTAAAGCTTGTGTCGTACACAAGTCCGTTACACAATTCCCTCTCGTTACAGCAAAGGTGTGGTCTGGTTGTCGGAATATGGTACAATTTGGGAAAGTATACGGACTGGGCGTACTCGAACAAAGAATCGTAAACTCTGACTCTGAAGACAACATTTTCCTGATGCTACCTTCCATTTCGTCCCTTTTATCTGATATCGAGCTTGAGGTAGGGTGTTGATCTTATCTTACGTTTAGTTTACTTTGTTTTATTTTACACTTGTACGAACTGAATAGTACGGTCGGTTAAGCTTATAGTTCTTATTTGAGCTAGCTTTAGCTTTATTTGAACTAGACCCTTTGTGATAATACATTTCTGATGCTTCCCTCTATTTCCTCTCTTTTACCCGATTTTGAAGTTGAGGTTCCACCTCAGGTAGGGATTATGGATTATTATTTATAATGTATGTTTTATCTAATAGTTGGTATTACTATTGATACATTTAAAATTAATCTAATGTAAGTAGGGTACAAGACATAACAATACGTATTTGCTACTAAACTTATACATATTATAATTAGAACTAGTAGTAGTGTAACCCGTTCCTACGGCCGGGACTTAACTATATATCGCAGTTGAAATACAAAAGTATAAACACGCCTATTATAATATTCGAAAAAAAACGCATTACATTTTCGTAGTTAAAACAGTTCGACAGTATGAACTCGCTCAGTCCAAACAGATCGCAATTTAATTCTGAGTGCCCCTCATGTATCTAATATGTAATAGTAAGGTAAGTTGCACATCTCCTGACCAAACTAATTTTATTAGTTGAACTTTCGGTACCGGGTGTCTGGGTTTAAATAAACTTTCCACGCCGAACAGTTTAACATAATTATCAAATTTAGTACTAATCATAACATAATTATAACATAATTATCAAATATAGTACTAATTATAATATAGTACTAATTATAATTAGTTACACTATAAGTATTCAGTACCGGGTGTTTGGGTTTAGATAAACTCTCCGAACAGTTTAACATAATTATCAAATTCATAATATCAACGATATAATATTGTTATGTTGCTACATATGATTAGGCTTTACTGAGAATAAGATAATTGAGTAGTCACAGTTACCCTGGATTCTGGAATAATTATACATTTTATCAGAATACTTGAGTATTTATTGTATTTGTACTCCGTTTAAGAATTGGCCAAAACTAAAAATGTTGTTATTTTGTCAAAAATCTATAGTATAGCCATTGCATTTTACGTATATGAATTTTACTTTATTTTTGTATAAAATGAGTCCAAATATTATAATCTTTCGCCCATATTTACATACTATGTCTTTACTGGGCGGCGCTCAGTCTGTCATTCCGCCGAATCTCTATTCGGTTTATGAACATGATAGCATGGGGTCCCCAGGTAAACTATGTCTATGCCGGACATGGATAAATAATTTTACCATCTTTAATTTGTATCTTTTTAGCCATGAAATTACAAAAAATAGCAGCTAGAATAGACCAAACTTTTACTTTTCTTACCGCTATAGATGGTACCAGAACCACTATATTCAATATACTAGGCTTGTATTAGAATTTGGACAAGCTAAACAGTTTGACTGGTTAATGCATATTGAATTGAACTTTTTTGCAAAATCGAATTTTTTGCATAATTTCTTCGTGGGATGGCAATTTGGTAATGTGTATTAAGCTGTTGATAATTACCAACATTGTTTGTTCGATAAAGGATAATTATAACTGCATATCGATAAACTATAAACTATAAAGTAGTGTATATTGCAGCGTTTCTATAATTCTGCTGAAAATATGGAATATAATTACAAATAACAAATTACATATAACAATCAATTACCCTGCAGGCTACAGAGGCACCAGTAGAAGTACCACAGCCAGCAGAAAGAACAGAACAACAGCCTGCTCAGAGTGAAGAGGAGGACCAAACTGAGTCAGATCAACGGGAATTGGCCAAGGTAATTATCGTTAATTAATTAATATTAATTAACAAGGTAATTAATATATTGTTACTTGATAATTAAGTAATTAACGAACAAACCAAGGTAGAACCTGATAGTAATAAATAATAATGACCTGAGTGTTCAATATCTGAGTGTTCAATATCTTTGATTTTGATATAAACTTTTCATCTATATGGACACGTTCATTGAAGTTTGAGGATATTGGTAAATATTAGTGACCCTACTGAATGGCACGATGATGTAAAATGTGTCACACTATGAAACTATATAAACCCTCTAACCCTAAGATAATCGTTTCATCATCTAGATAAACTTTGTCGCATAACGATATCTTTATCAGACGATAAGATATCGCTTAAATGCGGCCGGCAGTGAGTTGTAAACTTTGTCACACTATAAAAACGTGACGGAGTTTATATGGACCCCTTGTTGCCGTGTTTGACCAAATTTTCGAATTTCCAATTCATAGAATAGCTGTATATGACTATTATCTACATATTTAGCGACTTTTTTCCTTAAATGGTAGCACCATGTAAACTCCGTCACACATTTAAGAAATTTATATGAGGGATGTTTATGACATCCTGACAAGAAATGCCGAATAGTCTAGCATTATTTTGTGAGCTGAATGTGTTTGGAATTGTTCACATATTTCATTGTTATACGCAAATACAAATACAGAAGGCAGAAATAGGTAAATTTAGTCACATAAATTTGTATGATATCTCAACATGTGTGAAATTGAGTAAATATTAGTATACCAACTTAAACGCCCTATATTACGTACTATGGATCAATTAACAATATTTCAACCATACGCCGGTCATATAATTTATTATATGGCAGTGATATGTTAACATTGGATAAATTTCAACACCTGAACAGGGTAAAAATTTGTAAATTTCGTCACAAAAAAAAATTATAACTTTATTTGCTCCATGTTGGCAAAATAACTTATTTATCGACATAGTGATGGTGATAAAGTAACATTATATACTAATTGAGGTATGATTCTTCAAAATAGGGGCAAGAAATGTAAATTTCGTCACATCAGCCATTGCATTAGTTAGATAGATTTTCTTTCATATCAACTGCCCTTATTATAGTTGGAATGGATTCATACAGGAAATATAGAAACCCATGCCCATTTTTCATCACATTGAAATTATACTGTTGGGGCAGGAAAAGTGAATTTCGTCACATTTCGGTAACTTAGTAAAATTAAACTCAGAATTGTTAAACTTGAGTTCTGATTTGCTGAATAATAACCTACTTATAATTCCTGGAAGAATATTGAATTCTAATCGGGGTATGGTTCTTCAAAATAGGGTCAAGAAATGTAAATTTTGTCACATACGTCATTGTAAAATTTAGATACACTTTCTTTCACATCAACAGTCCTAATTATAGTTTGAAATTATTAATTCAGAGATAAGGAAATATAGAAACCCATGACCATTTTTCATCACATTGAAATTATACTGTTGGGGCAGGAAAAGTGAATTTCGTCACATTTCGGTAACTTAGTAAAATTAAACTCAGAATTGTTAAACTTGAGTTCTGATTTGCTGAATAATAACCTACTAATAATTCCTGGAAGAATATTGAATTCTAATCGAGGCATGTTTCTTCAAAATAGGGTCAAGAAATGTAAATTTCGTCACATCAGCCATTGCATTAGTTAGATAGATTTTCTTTCATATCAACTGCCCTTATTATTATTGTGACCATTTTTACATCAACTGCCCTTAACTTGAATCAGCTCTATCCGTGCATCGTCCTTATATACAGTTTTCCCGCCTTCCAAACCAAAATCAGATATAAATGATTTCGGCAATTCACCCAAAATTTAAAATTCCATATAATGTGACAGAATTTACATCATTTCCCAATAAGTGCATGTATTTGCTAACTTTTCAAAACAACATATTCTAGGGCTATGATTAGTAGAAAAACCATCAAATAATGAGTTGAAAGGATTTTGAGGACACCTCACAGTAGAAAAGAGGTATCGTATTCTGAGTGTGACAAAGTTTACGAAATATTGCCTTAAAACCGTTCGATCCCTGCCCTTTAGCCAAATGTTGTATCATAATTGTTAGAATGACCTAATCTACTATATTTTAAACCAAAAAATACTAATTGGGCAGCTATGGTTAACACAGTCACAAAAATGTGACATTTTTTATATTATAGTGCCTAAAAACAATAAATTGTATTTCTGAGCCGTGTATATGGAAGTATGGGTCACGTGGCTTATGTACAGAACTTCTGAACACGCTATTTTTTTGGTTTACCAATATCCTTAAACTTCAACATGAACGTGTCCATTTACGATTTCGTATCATTTTGTGACGATGTTTACATCAACTGCCGGGCTATACTTCAATCAACTGTATCCGTGTATCGTCCTCATATAGAGTTTTCCCGCCTTCCAAACCAAAATCAGATATAAATGATTTCGGAAATTCACCCAGAATTTTAAATTCCATATAATGTGACAGAATTTACATCATTTCCCAATAGCCAAGTGCATGTATTTCAAGTTAACTTTTCAAAACAACATATTTTAGGGCTATGACTGGCAGAAGAACTATCAAATAATGAGTTGAAAGGGTTTTATGGACACCTCACAGTAGAAAAGAGGTCTCGTATTCTGAGTGTGACAAAGTTTACAAAATGTTGCCTTAAAGCCGTTTGATCACTGCCCTTTAGGCCTACATTGTATCATAATTGTTAGATTGACCTAATCTACTATATTTTAGACCAAAAAATGCTAATTGGGCAGCTATGGTAAACAATGTCACAAAAAATGTGACATTTTTTACATAATAGTGCCTAAAAGCAATACATTTTATTTTTGAGCAGTGCATATGGGAGTATGGGTCACGTGGCTAATGTTCAGAACTTATGAACACGCTAGATTAATATGTTAAAATTAAACCACTATCGTCAAAAACGCTGTTTTAGAAATTTACCAATTTCCTCAAACTTCAATGAACGTGTCCATATAACTTGAACGATCAAATTTAATTCAATTATAAAGTACTAAAGTAAAGGAACTACGTGGAATGTGCTTTCTAACATTTAGTTTTTTTTTTCAGCAAATGATTAAATTTGGAGCAAAAGTTCCAATGTCACATTTTCTATCGATTTATTTAAACGAGTTGTATACCGCTCTCTTGCTATTTTGCTTTATCAAATCTAATTATAATTAGTACTAGTGTAGCCCGTGTCTACGGCCGGGAGCTTCAAACCATTATGTCATTTTATTCAAGCATCACCTCAATTTAAATTTGAGACACATGTTTGAAAATAAAATTCTAAATGATCCACCTAGAACTAGAAGCTTAGAAGGATCATATACGATTCCGTCCAGTATCATAACCTGGAGGGGAGGTAAATATTGGGTTTTGCGATAAATCAGGACGGTTTAGTCGCTTATAGTTCTAATTATTTGAGCTAGCTTTAGTTTTATTTTAACTAGACGTTTTGTGATAATATATTTCTGATGCTTCCCTCTATTTCCTCTTTTTTACCCGATTTTGAAGTTGAGCTTCCACCTCAGGTAGGGATTATAGATTATTATTTATAAATTATTATTATTATCATTATTTGATATATGTGTTATCTAACAGTTGGTATTGATATATTTAAAATTAATCTAATTCAAGTAGGGTACAAGACATAACAATACGTATTTGCTCCTAAACTTATATTATAATTAGTATTAGTGTAACCTGTGCCTACGGCCGGGACTCCAAACCATTATGTCATTTGATTCGAGCATCACCTCACTTTAAATTTGAGACACAATATGTTTGAAAATAAAATTCTAAATGATCCACCTAGAACTAGAAGGGTCACATACGATTCCGTCCAGTATCATAACCTTGGATTAAATTTTGCTTGAAGTTAAAAGCTATTAAAATTTAAGAGCATATTTAATTTTAAGGTTAATCATAATGTTGCTCCAAGTATTAGTTGCGTCTACCATTATAAACTTAAATTACATTTTTCTTCAAGTAATTAAAAAGTTTCATCATATTCATAATGAAGTAGGATTTCCAATTTCAATTTGGAAGGTATTATTATAGCGAAGTTTGGGGGAAGGGAACAGCCACGGTAAATCGGGGTATTGTTTGTTACTTTATGAATGTCAGGGGAAGTAAATTATGGCCGCGGTATATCGGGTTTTGTGATAAATCAGGACAGGGTAAATCAGGGTATTGTTTGTTACTTTATAAATGTTAGGGGAAGTAAATGGCCGCGGTATATCGGGTTTTGTGATAAATCAGGACACGGTAAATCAGGGTATTTTTTGTTACTTTATAAATGTTAGGGCAAGTAAATGGCCGCGGTATATCGGGTTTTGTGATAAATCAGGACACGGTAAATCAGGGTATTGTTTGTTACTTTATAAATGTTAGGGGAAGTAAATGGCCTGATAAATCAGGACACGGTGAATCGGGGTATTGTTTGTTACCTTATGAATATCAGGGGAAGTAAATGGCCGCGGTATACTGGGTTTTGCGATAAATCAGGACACGGTAAATATGTTCTGTTAATACGTTCTGTCTGGTACTACTAAATAAGATTATAATCTACTTCAAATTAAAGCGTACGTATATACTGTTAGTGTTATTAATATTATATTTCACCGTACCAATTTGAAATTGAATGATACTTAAACATGGGCCGCCCCCGCACTGAGGGGGCACAGATTCATGAGACAGATTAACACTGAAGTATTCCGTGTTTTCGTTGGTGACCACCTCCGAATATGGCTAAAAACTAAAAAGGCTACAAAATTTTATAGCTAACGACGCTGTCGAAAGTTCAAACATGTGTGGGCTTCAAAGGTGCAACTTAATGAATAATAGCTAAGTGCTAATGCTAATACCATATTTAGACTTCAAACTGGGGGACTCGGTAATCGTGACGTTATGCTTGTCACAATACTCGTTAAGTTTAAGTGGTTTTTGCCGATATAACCCTGTGACGATTATTATTAAGATCGGTTAACTTCCATTAACATATACCTTGATATTTGATTGACTAATGTGTAGGTAGACTAAGTACTAAGTTTTGATAGTTTCAAAACTAATGTGTATTATGAACAATAAATACACGATATTAGAAGTAGAACGCGAATAGGATGAAGTCAGTAACATTAAAACGTTGATGTTCAATCTTCCACCTAAAAGAGCAGTTTCATTTTTCGTATCTACGTGATTACCAAAGACATCTTTGAACACTCAACACTTAGCACAAGTTCACGTTTTTAATTAAACCGCTTAAGGCGGCTGTGACATGAACAGCAACGTAGCCGCTCAGCAATGTAAGTTGTAACAAACCATCATTCCCTTAGACAGACTATAACACAAAACTTAAATAGATAACCGTAATAATTAAATTACAGAGACGGCTACGAGAGTACATGCGAGAGTTCGAGATAAACAGGTCAACCTCGTCAGGACAGTGGCCGGGCAGCAGTATGCCCTCAGAGTTCAGCCCTGCTCTATTCAGGAGCATTTTCCCTTACTCTGGCGATCTGCTTTACGCTCAATTCCACCCTGGTTAGTTGATGATTACATAGTTACATAATCAAATAATAATATAGTTACATAATTGTTATACATAATTGATGTGAGTTATTTAGATTAGCAGTTATTTAGTTTATAAATAGCAGTTATTCATGGTTATACCTATATAATATGTACCTAACTATGATATTTTTCTGCTTGTTTTGTCAGTCTTGCAAACAAGTCGTGGGAGAAACCATTCGTGACTGCATTTAACCATTATATGCGGCGTCATGTAAATTCATGATTTAATTTGATCCAAAGGATTGACGATGCCCTTTTTTTGCTTTTATCGCCATTTAAGGCAACAGCTATGCTGGTTCCATTGACGCTTACAACCTAATTGATCAAGTTACGTGATTTGTTTCAATACGGGGTCACGAACGGTTACTAAAGTTTTACTCCTGGCCATTTTCATGTCCAAGTTCACATAACTTATATAATGTTCAGCACTAATCTGGTGTCTCTTTCAGAAGATGCTGACGAAGATAGTGAATCTGATAAAGATTCAGACCAGGAAGTCCACCAACAGTCGGAATCAAGATACGAATGTGAGTACAAGATTCTAGAAAATTCTAGACTAACATTCTAGAACATTCTTATTATTCTATTATAGCACCCTTTGTGGTTATAAGTGTGAAGTTGTTGAATTTGATACTTAGGGCAACTGCAAATTACGAATTTTGTCTCATCGGCATAATTTATCGATGACCAGTGGCAATTTGTTTCAAAGATCAGTCAAAAACCATAACATGCATGTGGAGCTATATTTAACCCAACTAGGCCACTATACTAATAATGCTCCTTTATAAATATACTGCTCCTTTATAATGTTCCTTTATGAATATAATGCTCCTTTATAATGCTCCTTTATAATGCTTCTTTATAATGCTCCTTTATAATGCTTCTTTATAATGCTTCTTTATAATGCTCCTTTATAATGCTCCTTTGTAATGCTCCTTTGTAATGCTCCTTTATAATGCTCCTTTATAATGCTCCTTTATAATGCTCCTTTATAATGCTTCTTTATAATGCTCCTTTATAATGCTTCTTTATAATGCTTCTTTATAATGCTCCTTTATAATGCTCCTTTGTAATGCTCCTTTGTAATGCTCCTTTATAATGCTCCTTTATAATGCTCCTTTATAATGCTCCTTTATAATGCTTCTTTATAATGCTCCTTTATAATGCTCCTTTATAATGCTCCTTTATAATGCTCCTTTATAATGCTCCTTTATAATGCTCCTTTATAATGCTCCTTTATAATGCTTCTTTATAATGCTTCTTTATAATGCTCCTTTATAATGCTCCTTTATAATGCTCCTTTATAATGCTCCTTTATAATGCTCCCTTATAATGCTCCTTTATAATGCTCCTTTATAATGCTCCTTTATAATGCTCCTTTATAATGCTCCTTTATAATGCTCCCTTATAATGCTCCCTTATAATGCTCCCTTATAATGCTCCCTTATAATGCTTCTTTATAATGCTCCTTTATAATGCTCCTTTATAATGCTCCTTTATAATGCTCCTTTATAATGCTCCTTTATAATGCTCCTTTATAATGCTCCTTTATAATGCTCCTTTATAATGCTCCTTTATAATGCTCCTTTATAATGCTCCTTTATAATGCTCCTTTATAATGCTCCCTTATAATGCTTCTTTATAATGCTCCTTTATAATGCTCCTTTATAATGCTCCTTTATAATGCTCCTTTATAATTCTCCTTTATAATGTTCCTTTATAATGCTCCCTTATAATGCTCTTTTATAATGCTCCTTTATAATTCTCCTTTATAATATTTCTATTCCACAGCCTCAGAGTCAGGAACCTGTAAAGGACCCCGGAAGTTGTATCTCTGGCAGTTCCTGTTACAGTTAATACGGAATCCTAACGAGAGCTCCATCAATTGGACGGAGAGGCCCCCAGAGTTCATTCTAACTGATCCACAACAGGTTAGTTCGTGTATAGATTTAGATTCTTGTGAAGAGGTGAAACATGTTTTTTTTTTTTGTTTTAGAGAGGCTGGGCATAGAAAGCCCGGACTAGAGGATAGCATTAAGATGCTTTGCCTACCTCTGGGATGAGGGGGGGGGGGTTTATCGGAGACAACAGTGTGAATTGTGGAGGACGGTGGTGGTAATGATCTGAATGGGAATACCGCGCTTTGGTACCAGATGAGTTTATAAATCAGTTAGGCAAGGCTGCATATGTAATGTGTTAATGCGCTAAGTTACACCAGTCTGATCCAGTTCTTCTGGTACTATTAAGCGTTTGGTGCGGTTTGTGAAGTTGACGATTGTGGTAATGTGGTGGTTGTCGAATATGTCGTTGACCGAGAGGTAGTAGTCCCGAAAGTATTGACCTCTTAGTTGGGCAATAGCTGGGCACTGTCCAAGAAAGTGTGAGACAGTTTCCTCTCCGTCACCGCACATAGGACAAGCACTGGTGCTTGATTTGCGGATGGTGTGGAGGTGTTTGTTTAAGCCACAGTGGCCCGTGATTAGGTGGACTGCGGTTCTATAGTCTTGTCTATTGTTGATGAGTGACGTGTTTATATTATTGATTATTTTGGTGTGCTTTTGGCCAAGTGTTAGTTTGGTGTGTCTAGGACCATCCGTTAACCAGATATCCTGATTCAGTCTGTGGACTTTGTTGTTGATTTGTCGTTTGATGTAAGATTGAGGGATTGGGCATTTCAAAACGTGTTCGCTGGTCGTGCCAAGCTTGGCCAGCTCATCCGCTTTTTCATTTCCCCACAACCCAATATGGGCTGCGATCCATCGGATCTCTAGAGTGTTGTTCGATCCGAGTGCGTTAAGGGTGTCATAACAGTCTCTAGTAGTTCTGCTCCTCGTTGAAAGCGAGGAAATAGCTTGTATGGAGGAGAGACTATCAGACCATATAATGATGTGTGAATTGGTGTAGGATGAGAGATACTTGCAGGCTTCAATGATTGCAGTGAGCTCTGTCTGGTAGACAGTGCAATAATCAGGGAGCTTGAATGATCTCTCTTCCAGGGTGGTGTTGTTGTTGTCAGTCGTGATGATGTACCCAGCCCCACTTCCGGAGTCTGATAGAGACCCGTCTGTGTAGCAGGTGATCGTTTCACTGGTAATGTTGTCGATGGTGTGTTGGAGTGCGGTTCTGTATTCAGTGTTGTTAGTTCCAGGAGTGGTGACGGTGAAGTGCATGTTTGTTTTCACACGTGACAGAGATCTTGGGATTTTATTGGTTATTACTGGAAGCTTTTTTGTTATCCATGAATCTAGAGGAGTCTTAAAACTGGCATTTATATTAACATCATGTTCTATTTAGGTGGCTAAGTTATGGAGTGAGTACAAGGGACGAGGGTGTATCAACGTGGACAGTCTATGTAGAGCTCTCAGGTAAGATAATAATTAGTTAATAAGTTGATTAGTTAATTAGTTGATTAGTTGATTAGCTGATTAGTTAATTAGTTGAATAGTTAATTAGTTGATTAGGTAGTTGATTGGTTGATCAGTTGATCAGTTGATCAGTTGATCAGTTGATTAGTCGATAAGTTGATTAGTTGATTAGTTGATTAGTTGATTGGTTGATTAGTTGATTAGTTGATTAGTTGATTAGTTGATTAGTTGATTAGTTGATTAGTTGATTAGTTGATTAGTTGATTAGTTGATTAGTTGATTAGTTGATTAGTTGATTAGTTGATTAGTTGATTAATTGATTAGTTGATTAGTTGATTAGTTAATTAGTTGATTAGTTGATTAGTTGATTAGTTAATTAGTTGATTAGTTGATTAGTAAGTCAATGGTTGTGTACCACCCCGAAACTTAATTCTAAGATGGCAATAAAGATAATGAATTCTAGAAAATTCCAGCATATTTCTTTATAGAAATCTACACTATTAATTTACATCGGGTATATGATCTTGATCTTCCTCTTGGTGAGAATTTATAAATAAAATTTTATAATTTTAAGTCAATTCTATCTTTCTATTATCAGTTAATGATGCTGGTAACCAACAGTAACCTGGTTCATATTCCAGGTATTACTACAGCAGGAATATCTTAAAGAGACGGCAGGGTATGGGAAGGTTTGTTTACAGTTTCAGTGAAGCAGCTCTAGAGCTAGATGTCACGAACACACCCCATCAGTAGCTATATCAGTAACTGCAGCAGTGATTATCACAGTGAATACCAGTGAATACCAGCGAATATCAGTGACAATTAGTGACTATTAGTGACTATCAGTGCGCCTTTGCCCATCACAGTCAAAGCAACGTCAAATTTTAATTACTCTTGATCAGAAAAGCAAATCAACATTTTAAGACTTTATTGGACCAAAGAACAATTAGTACGAACAATGAACAATAAGTATGAACAATTAACAGAATGTCTTTGTTTGTCCGAACTCCGAAGATCAAGGCATTAGTCAATGCAATCAAATTGAGTTTGTTCTTCGAGAATATCATAATTATATCATAACACAACCGCGCGAAAAGCTGGCCACAATATGCTTGAAATTGCAATAGAATCACACCTAAAATAACGGTACGTATAACGACCATGGTAACACATCTCCTAATCGATTACGTGATCCGTTTATACGTACCGTCAAGCTATACTATAGCTCTATAAGGTCTAACTTTAAAAGGACAGCTTTTTGCGACTGTGGTATGCACAATGGATTCGAAAAATTGACACGAGAACTATACCGTGTAAAAGTGCTCTACTAGTACTCGTGCCGTGCCGTGTAAAAGTGCTTTACCCGTGCCGTGCCGTACCGTGTAAAAGTGCTTTACCCGTGCCGTGCCGTACCGTGTAAAAGTGGTCTACCCGTGCCGTGCTGTGCCGTGTAAAAGTGCTCTACCCGTGCCGTGCCGTACCGTGTAAAAGTGGTCTACCCGTGCCGTGCCGTGCCGTGTAAATGTGCTCTACCCGTGCCGTGCCGTGCCGTGTAAAAGTGCTCTACCCGTGCCGTGCCGTGTAAAAGTGCTCTACCCGTGCCGTGCCGTTTAAAAGTGCTCTACCCGTGCCGTGCCGTGCCGTGTAAAAGTGTTCTACTCGTAACCCAGTTGAACAATGAAACTTGAATGTGATTATTCGAGTGAGACTGTAACTTTTGGAGGCTTACTCAACTTGTATTTTAATCTTGTTAACCTTTTAAACATTGTAAACGTTGTCGATCTTGTCAAAAATATGAATTCAGTGATAACAATTGTACATATTAATTTTAATCATTCATTGAAATTGGGAAAATTGAAACAAAACTTAACTTAAAATTGTCAAAATTACACTTCAAACAATAATTCCTCAAAAGGGTACAAAAAACTTTCAGAATATTATATCAATACCATGCATTATTTGATGATAATTATTTGGTGTTGTAAATGTACTTTATGTAGAAGGTAAATAAAAAATGTAATTATAAAAGTTCCCTTACAGCGTGTTGTTAACTGTTGAAAGTAGCTGTGTGAATGTTCATCTCGTCCACAATGTGAGACACCGAGGCGTATGTGCACACAATACCAACAGTTAACTGTTGAAAGTAGCTGTGTGAATGTTCATCTCGTCCACAATGTGAGACACCGAGGCGTATGTGCACACAATACCAACAGTTAACTGTTGAAAGTAGCTGTGTGAATGTTCATCTCGTCCACAATGTGAGACACCGAGGCGTATGTGCACACAATCCCAACAGTTAACTGTTGAAAGTAGCTGTGTGAATGTTCATCTCGTCTACAATGTGAGACACCGAGGCGTATGTGCACACAATCCCAACAGTTAACTGTTGAAAGTAGCTGTGTGAATGTTCATCTCGTCCACAATGTGAGACACCGAGGCGTATGTGCACACAATCCCAACAGTTAACTGTTGAAAGTAGCTGTGTGAATGTTCATCTCGTCCACTATGTGAGACACCGAGGCGTATGTGCACACAATCCCAGCTCCCATTCCAAAGGTTATCGAGAGTGCGTCTAGAGTTTTCTGAGGAGGGGTATAATACGTTAAATGATAATAATATATGATAGTAATACGTTATATACCTTTTTTATATAGGAGCATTTGTTTTTACGAACAAATTGTTAAAACAAATGAGGTGGCTTACATAACATAAGGATGGCATGAAGAATGAAGATGCTCTGCCTGCCTCTCGGGTGTGGCAACCCTCCAAGAATATTATGTGCTAAAACAGGACGAGAATTATAGTCACTAGGTCACTCCGGTTTTGTCCAGTTCCTCGGGCACAATAAGACGCTTAGTTTGTGTTTTGAAGTTGACAAATGGCATTTGTATTAATTTTTTGTTCATCAAAGACGTCGTTGACGGAGAGGTTATTAATCCTGAAAGTATATTATATTGCCCGCGCAGTTGTGCAATAGGTGGGTACTGCAAGCGCGAGACAGTTTGGAGCATGATCAAGATCTTTAAAAATGAAAGTAGCCACTTGAGACCTCCCAACTATTTATAAAAGCTTTAATGATGCCCAACAAAATTAGAGGCTGAGTAAATGGTGCTTGCTAGCTATGATCGGTAGATTACGATAGTACAAATCAAATGTAATTACCGTTTTACTTCTGCCGTCTCCCGACAAAGGCACTTCAATTCCGTTTTGAAATTTTGTATTCTTTTATCCTAGAACTTTCCATGAAAACCATCATAATTAATTTCCGGCCCCCAGAAGCATCCTTTTGAGAACTCAAAATGCAAAAATTGGCAAGTTTCCATAAACGATATTTTATTATCGGCGCTGATAATCGCTTATTGGGCGCTTTCTCGGCGCTTTTTTTTTAAATATGAGAAATCCTCTTAAAAACCTCATTTCGAAGTGCAACTTTGTTAGAAAACGCAAATTTACACGAAGGATCAGTTTATTAACGCTGTTATAGCTGAACAATCTGAAATGTACCTTAAAAGTTAACCATTTGTCTTTCTTTGCGAGTTTGATGTGAAAGAGGCTAGGCAGGATAAATACTGCAGTGTTAATGGTAGTCCCTCCAATCAGCGCCATTATCAGGTCAAATCTGAAACACAAGGAAATTATTGTCAGGTCAAATCTGAAACACAAGGAAATTATTGTCAGGTCAAATCTGAAACACAAGGAAATTATTATCAGGTCAAATCTGAAACACAAGGAAATTATTGTCAGGTCAAATCTGAAACACAAGGAAATTTTTATCAGGTCAAATCTGAAACACAAGGAAATTATTGTCAGGTCAAATCTGAAACACAAGGAAATTTTTATCAGGTCAAATCTGAAACACAAGGAAATTATTAGTATTATGGTTGCTCATCATCAGGCCTGTGTTTTGAGATCTACACTCAGATTGTTGTTAATTTAGATAAGTCATGGTCAGTAGCAAATCTTTATATAACCACATTGAACCAATCTGGGCGGCTGTACTTGATTTTATCGTTTACATAATGTCGCATTAACTCAATAAGTTGCTTCTACTAGGCACTTAAAGTCTTCGTTTAAATCACATAACCAGTGCTATACTTGACTAACCCAACCCACGATTATGATAAAGTGGTATTTAATGTCACAAATATATTGTGATGAAATGTTTAATTTTATTATATCTTGCCCTCTCCGAAACTAAACTTTTAAACGACCAACTATTTAAAAGTATTTAAAGTATTTAAAATACAGACAGGATTTTAAATTGTAAAACCCACCTGGGGATAGCTTCACATACGACTATTGCTACCGCCACATAGCCTATCCTGACTGCCACACGTTTAGCACTAAACAGCTCTGAGCACGGGATATGGAGTTATTAGTCAGGGTGGGGTCGTCACACCCCAAATTACTGGTCATTGAAAATATTGAAATATTGAAATCCAGAGCTGGTTAAGCGCAAGAACGGCAAGATTAAAGAGAATCATGTGGAATTACTTATAATAGTATAATATTAATAATGGCAATCAAACTACATGGTCTTAAGAAAGAAATCGATTAGAATGTTTCCATTAAAATCGCACTGATTGATAGCAACATTTTATAAAAATCACACTGACGTTTGTGTGGTGCTCCAATTGCTCCCTCTATCATAGCTGCTACAGGGTTCCCGAGGATAGTGGCGGACATTATTGCCTGTACTGCCACGAGCAGTAGGATACATGCGTTCAGAGCTGAAACAGGGACTGTTACACTGTTACACTGTTACACTGTTACACTGTTACACTGTTACACTGTTACACTGTTACACTGTTACACTGTTACACTGTTACACTGTTACACTGTTACACTGTTACACTGTTACACTGTTACACTGTTACACTGTTACACTGTTACACTGTTACACTGTTACACTGTTACACTGTTACACTGTTACACTGTTACACTGTTACACTGTTACACTGTTACACTGTTACACTGTTACACTGTTACACTGTTACACTGTTACACTGTTTCTCTCTCTCTCTCTCTCTCTCTCTCTCTCTCTCTCTCTCTCTCTCTCTCTCTCTCTCTCTCTCTCTCTCTCTCTCTCTCTCTCTCTCTCTCTCTCTCTCTCTCTCTCTCTCTGTTAAGGTCAACGGTTTCTGACTTCTTACTTTAAAAGGGAGAGGGAAGCCTTAAAGTTACACTGATCAACATATCTGAAATATTAGATATTGATAAGTTTGCGTGCCGCGTGTCTATATATAAAAATGCCATTTTCGGACGTGAGTAGAGTTATGATACAGGGTGGGTTAAAAGTCACTGGACATACGTTGGCCTTAATAGCTCAGTCACTGAGTGACCAATTGAAATAATTCTTTCTGGTACGACTTACTACCACCAATGGTTCGAGAAATTCATTTTTTTCAAATGAAGGTTCATTTTTGCATTTATTTGATAGTTTGGATAGTCTGATTGAGCTAAATTTTATTTAAATATGTTTGGCCATTCGAATTATGTTCGTCCTGAAAAAAATTAGAGTTGTAGCTTCTCAGATGGCCGAGATACGAACCATAACGAGTTTATTCATTACGTGTGATCAGGTGATTGGTTTACCTCACGTGATAAGGTCACCCTGTTAACTAAACCACCCCATTAAACATTATGGGAATCGTTAAGGCTGCCCAATTAAGGTGTCGTGTCACGGTGTCAATTAATCACCCAGTCAATTTTGTTAACGAGATACAGAAGACTTCACGTCATTTTTTCAGATCAGATGTAACATTTAATATAATAATCTACCGTCTCTGAAAAAATCAGGCGTCCAGCATAGCATGTTCAGAGAAAACAATATAGGTGTTTTAATTTTAAATGGACGTGGTCTAAGATATTCGAATTTTCAAATTTTGACGTCGGAATCCTCGAACCAGAAGGTACAGTATAGTATGCTATCTGCAAAGCAGCAGCTCTCAAATATAAAGCACGGCTGAGCTATTATAAGGCTGGAACGCATGTCCAGTGACTTTTGGCCCACCCTGTATATAAAATGTAAAATATATTAAAAACCTTTAAATTGAGGATCAATGTTGTGCAGGATATTAGGCTTCACACAATCCCCAAAGAACAGCATCCCGGTTATACCCACAGGGATATAGAGGACAAGTTTTATCAGAAAAGCGATAATGACTGATCCAGGGAAGTCCCTGGGTTTCTTCATTTCTTTCTGAAAGTTGGGAAACGCTGAGTGTCCTCCAAACGCAAACAGGAACTTCCCGAAACTCAGGAACCATGATTTCGCAGTTACCTGAAAGTAACAATGATATTCATTTCTAAAAGTGACTTCTATATGTTGAATGGAATTGAAGATTTTAATTCAAAATTAAGATAGCGTGATCAGTAATAACTGCAAGCCATCAAAGGCAATCACCAAGTCTCAGCTAGGATCACATCCCGATATGTATCTCTAAACAGTAATTAAAAGTTTGAATTTGAATGAAAGAACTAGTAATTAAATAGTGATTCACAATAATTAAATAGTAATTAAATAGTAAAACTTCAAACCTGGTACGGTTGGAAGTTGGGTGATTTTCCAGTCTGGAAGATTCCGTATATGATAAGCAGGGTAAATGTAACTGAGAGAACTGTAGCTAGTACAGGGACTAGGAGCGAGTCCCCTCCGGACCCTGTGAGGAAGGTTCGTCACAGTTGTCATTAATAATATTAATTAGCAAGTTAAATATCAGTTAATTAGCAGTTAATTAGCTTTGTCAAAGTTGTCAGTAAAGTGAGTAACAATATTAATTAGCAAATTAAATATCATATAATTAGCAGTTAATTAGCTTTTAGTTAACAAAGATATGCTTACTTTTACGGCGATATTTCATTGCAGTTTTAGAACACATACTTCCGCACTTAGATAATGTATTTCATCTCAAAAATAAAGATTGAGTTTTGAATTATTCAGAACCCTAAACTAAATTAAGTCTGTATTTTAAGCATACCAAAGAGAATGACTACAAGGAACACCAAAGCCATGATAGCAACACATGTCCGGTAACCAATACAATCCACCTCAAACTCCTGAAAGATGTAAAAAAGAGTATAAAAGCTATATGTAATATTGTCGAACATCAGTTTATTCAATATTATTTGTTCTTGTCCTTTATATCTAGATTTTGAGGTGGGCTCTGTCATGTTATACTCTAATTTTACCTATGAAAATAAGGTTAAATGTTGAGATAAAATTGAATATGGAGAAGAAAGTTCGAAGTTCAAAAGGGTAGTTATAATCAAAACAAAATGTCCCACTCAGAAACATAAATAGTTACACTTACAATGAAAAGAAATCGGGACAGACTTTGTGCAGCAATGAGGATATAGGCACAACATCCGCCAACTAGTGTAACATTGGCGCACACCTGAAATAGTAGGTTTTATCCGAATATGAACATAATTTATGAACCAGAGAATAAGCGTCTTAAACCAAACAATCGGTATTTTTTTTTGATTTTCCAACGTTAAACCATCATCTAAAACATCACCTAAAATCAGTGTAATTATTAGATTTGAAGCTCTCAACCAGATAAGTTCAACTGGATAATTATAATTATTATAATTAAGTATTAACCTGTACAGCAACTTCGCCACACTTTCCAAACGCAGAATTTCCGATACATTGGTATGGTTTCGCGCAGCGAGGATACCTGAAGAAAAACTTATTTTGAATCAGACAATTCTTCAACGATTCTGGGATAGTTGATTAAACAATTCGTTTGAACTTTGAAATGTATTCCAGAAAATCGCGATTTATTTTTTTTAATTTTGAAACATATTCTAAGTATATTTTAAACACATTGAACACTCACTGATCCCTGACATGCATCCAGTTTCTACTGAGAGTAAGGCCGGTATAGGTGGCAACAGCTACACACAGGAACATTAGGGCGAATCCGGAGTACCCAGAGTAGGCCAATGCTTGCGGCACTCCTGCATAGACGGGAGGGTATAGATCAAGTTTTGTGCTATTTCTGTTATTTCTGTTATATTTGTGTTATTTGAGATATTTGTGTTATTTGATGGGTTTAAGATTTAGATTTCAAGCAACTCAAACTTGTTTAGCCATGCCTGGTGAATGTAACCATAATTTATCGTGCACAGTTAAGAATTTAAATGTAAACATTTATGAAAAAATGTAGAAAATCATGTTCAGATGTCTGGCAACCACGAAACATATTTGTTGTCATACAACTTACCTAAAATTCCAGATCCAGTCATTTCTCCGACGATGAACAGTGCGGTGGCGAATATCCCCATTTTTCCGGGATCAACACTCGATTTCCCTGTCCAGGAAAACTTTTACAAATCAGGAGTGTTAATGTGAAGAAGTAAAGCATAATAAAGAGCATTGTGACATTTGTATCGCTAATTTATCATTAATCTGGGATAAAATGTGCTGCTGTTGGAGTACCCTCTAGGAGAGAAGCTTCAATAGACTCATACTCACCCTCCAGGAGAGAAGCTTCAATAGACTCATACTCGCCCTCCAGGAGAGAAGCTTCAATAGACTCATACTTACCCTCCGGGAGAGAAGCTTCAATAGACTCATACTTACCCTCCAGGAGAGAAGCTTCAATAGACTCATACTCACCCTCCAGGAGAGAAGTTTCAATAGATTCGTACTCATCTTCAAGCTCATACTCCATCTCTAAATCACGTCCTGACTGACTAACACGCTTCAGCTTCTGAAATATAATACTGTTTTAATACTTTCCACACTACAGTGTAACCAGGACGACAACCTTGAAACTGGCTGGAGGGGGTTCGTAGTCCCCCAGCATAGCAAACTTGTCTTTCACATTTTAACGTTCTGATAAATCCTATAGTTAAGTCTAATTATCAGTGAATTTTAATGTTCTAATAAATCCTATAGTTTAGTCCAGTTATCAGCAGGGAAAAAAGGAAATCGCGGCATGTGCGGAATCACGATTTTTTGGGCAAAATAATCGCGATTTTCTTTTGTCCCTGGTTATCAGTAAAACATTTTATTATTATCGCAGAAGACACAGCCACAGTTTTAACTCATCATGTGATATGATATACAGTCTAGCTCGATAACAGTGGAAACTTAATACTCGTATTATATAACTGAGGTCTTGGTCATAATCATAGATTATAAGACATGTAATTTAAACTTTTCCATATCAGAAGTCACAGGTTCTAGTAATTTTGTTAAAGGTGCAAACAGTTATATTCTCAGATAAATACGTGACTTTTAAAATTTTCTGTTTGGATTCATACGAAGAGCGATTATTTTCATGAGCATGGGCAACCAAAATTAAGAAAAACATACCCCAAGCATCATCAAGCAAAATATCTAAAGATTAACGAAAGTTTTCGTTTTTAACGTTAATTTTTTAACGTTGCAATATTTTGAACACTGACAGTTGCAATATTTTGAATACTGACTATCGTGACTAGGAACGATCGTGTATTAATGATAAGTGACTTAATAACAATTGACTCACGGATAAAACATGGGCTGATATGATAAGCTGAGCAAATAATTTATTCACCAAGCATATTTTAAATCAATAATGGCTTCATTTTTTGACTGATGTTAAGTAATTGACAGACCTTTTGTTTCAAAATTGTTTAAAATTGCATTGAAAGTCAAGACAGTGTCAATAGAAATTTAAAGGTTAAGTAAATAAATCCAAAGCTGGCACTCACAATTCCATCAACCATGGTAAAATTATTTGAACTGGAAGGCTCAGATAGGTATCAAGACAGTTAATTTTGCGCACGGTTATACTAAATAAAACCGTGAAAAGACCTAAGTCTAATTGCAAAAGAGAGAGTTCACAAAACAAGTTCTTGGGTGGCTCAAAAAGTTTTCCCTCCACAGAAATCACATTGCCGACGTGCTGCTAAGTTGATTTATAACGTGACTGGCAGTGAGGGGTCACATGATTGGTCCTCTGCAAATGCATGGTGCAGTATCCTTAATCTAATTGTTTCTGTAAACGGTATGACTTTCAGGTAATTACAAGCGGACATGTGCCACACCATTTTTGGGGTACGGCATGTGAATTAATTTGCTCAATTTCAATTTCTTATCGCGTTGTAATCAAGGTTTTTCCGATATTACTGATTATAGTTGTTTTCATATCAATCCTTTCTGGCACTGCAGTTTTGGAAACTTTACAGAAGTATTTGATGACGTCTAAGATAACACTGTGAAAGTTTCGGCTTACTTCATATTGCGGTCTTTAAAAGCATTTAGGACATGCAAGTATGCCTGTATTAAAATATGTACGGAAATTTCCAACTGATAGCAGATTAGTGCCCCAGTGCATCATATTACTGTTTAAATTTTAAATGAATTATTAGGAAATTAAAAAATATGAAATCTAAGATTACAATCTCTTCATTTAGGTCTAGGATCATTGTACATAGTACATAGAACATTATACATTATACATTATACATAAGCTGATACACGATGTCTTTGTATTGTGAGAAAAAGGATAGCTAATTTATGTACAACTTTTTAAGAAGTAAGAGCTAGGCACCCTAGCTGTAGTTATAAGGATATATATAAGTCAAAAACAATTCAGTGATAAATCTCATCGAGCAGAAAATATGTAATCAAACGTACCGCAGTTATTTGAGTGAACACATCATCATTTTCCATACCATCTCTTAACAAAGATTACAAGGAATACTTAACAGTGTACAATCAAAAATAAATACAATAGATAAAAGGAATACAAGGAATACAAGGAATTCAAAGAAAAGAAAGAAAACAAAGAATATAAGGAATACAAGGAATGCTAGAAATACAAAAAACCGCAAGGAATACAAGGAATACAAGGAATACAGATAATATGCAGTTTTGTTACGATTTGATAATCATAACTCTCTTATCTCTCGTTTATCGCTACATCATAAGTCATAACTGCCGCTATTGAATTAACAAGTACATGTACGTGATGGAAGACATGGATTTACTTCAAAGAATTATCAGATCGCTCTAAATTTTTTCGATGAAAGTTACGAGCTGAAGCAACTCTGATACCTGGAGGGGGATTTGTTTTAAGACATATAAGAGATACGAGAAGTTTGTTTTTTTAGCAGGAACTTTAAAAATACATGTGTAACTCGTCTTCAGCTCTGATACGTCCGCATAAAACCTCTGATACGTCCGCATAAAACCCTACGGTACGTAGGATGTTTGATTAGACAAAATACAGGTGGAAATTATTTCGTAGGTTCTAAAATGACTCGTCCAGATCCAGTCTTAACCTTCAATTGGACACAACTCACTAGCTGAAATAGCTTTGAATTTTGATACGTTATTACCTGTAAGACTGGCCTCCAGCTCGCCATCACAATGCATGACCGTGCCTCTTATATTCACAATACTATTTACCCCCTTTACTATTTACCCCCCTTTACTATTTACCCCCTTTATTATTTACCTCCTTTATTATTTACCCCCTTAACTTTTATACCCCCTTTACTATTATACCCCCTTTACTATTATATACCCCGTTATTGTTTTTCAGCCATTAAGACTCGTCGAAAGTAGTTCAGCAGCAGCACCCTACCCATTATTATGGTTTTTGGTCAAATTTTGTATATGCAAATAGTGTGAGTTGCAGTACTTGTCAAAGAGCTGAGTAGCTTGATACGTGTACTTATAATGATATATTGAATACTAGTGACATCTAAGATGAGAAGTACGGACTAGTCGTACTTTTTTAATTCGAAGGTGTCATAGAATGTATTTATTAATTTTAAATTTAAATGTTTATTGAAAAGTACTGTCCAAAAAAAACACGCGCATGGTAGCAGCTAGAATTAGAAATGCTGAGTGCATTCGTTTATTTATTTTTATTCAATAGCTACTAGCCGTACTCATTTGTTTTATATTTTCAATAATCAGTTTGCAATTGTTGTTATCTTTAGTTTTTATTATTATTTTGTTTCTCGTCATTTGAAAGGGGAAAACATAAAAAAGACTGCAGTTTTGCCTTTAATTTAAGACAAAATAATAGTAACGATTAAACCTTCGATGGCAGCAGGATAGCATACAACTTCGGCAACGGGGTTATAAACAAATATTTCAACAGCGGGGTACAAATTTGACAGCAGGATAGGATACAGTTTCGGCAACAGGGTTTTAGACGATTGTTTCGGGCAGCAGGATACGACTTTGCCAGCAGGATAGGATACAACTTCGGCAACAGGGTTGTAGACGATTGTTTCAGGGCAGCGGGATACGGCAGCGGGGTTAAACTAAAAATCAATGTCCAAAAAGGCGTTGAGATCCTGAAATATATAACCGGGTTTAACAATATTATTTGAAATAAGTATACTATAGTTGAATTATAATAAATTCAACTCATTCTGAATAAACGTCAATATAACAGTATTACTTGTGTATATACATATGTGCTTTGTAACAAAGTCATGAAAAAACTAGTTTAGAAAGAAAACAATTAGTTACTCACGAGGGACTTTCCTTTGCTAGTGGTAGCAGTAGCTGCGGGTAATCGGGGTGTTCTTTTCTTTTTATAGCCGGGGCAGTGACAGGCTGCTTTTCGAACACTTTCAGGGTTACATACCCATTCGTAGTGGCGGCAATGCCTTCAATTAGGTCCCCGTTCTGAAATTTTTTATTCATGAGAAAACATGTTCTTTTCTCTCAGTAGGATACAACATAGATAACATTTTTCTGACTAAGATGAAGATTTGTTTATTCATTAAAGTTTCTTATATTTATTTAAGGATTAATTATTATTATTATAAATAAAGTCAATATTTGTGAATCATGTATTAAAAAAATATAATATCCACTAAGACTTACCACGAATCGGTCTTCTTCATCAGGAAAGTATGAACACACCTTAGTGTGCTCGCCTACAACGGCAAACATTTGCATTGGTTTGCCGTTGTTAGTTGACTTATTGCGAAGGAACTTGATTTGCCCCTAATTAACGTACGTATATCTCTTTTCCTGGCTTGTCGATTCCATGGCTAAAGTAAAAATCGAATTAATATAAGAAACAACATGAAAATAGTTCAATACTAGTTCATAGAGCAAAACTCGGTCTAAATACATAACACGGTTTTAACAATATAGATGATACTAGGAGACATTTCAAAACAACGGTAGAACTTCAAAATCTGAGGTACAGTAGTTTCTAGAACAAAGTGAGATTCCTTCCCCGCTAAGAGTCACTCAACATCTAATTAGGAAAGTAAGGAATAGCAAATGGTAGAAATTAATACTCTCCTAACTTCGTCTTAACTTAAGTAATAACACAGAGTTTGTTTGCGTGCAATCATTGCTATGGTAACTGCAACTACTGTCATGTAGCATAGTAAGCAGTGTCATAGTAACGGCAACTGGCAAGAGAGGTGGCGAGAGAGCACGAGAAGTGGCGAGAGAACACGAGTTATATTTCGAACAGGTAAAATTCTCTTGATGAAGGCGGATGCTAGAATACTTGTCCGTCGAACCACTGATGCATCTCAGACCACTGCACGGTTCCGAACAGAGGACATTCCTTAAATACCTTCTCAGCGGACCAGAACGTGTTCCTAAAAGCATTTTTTCTTAATCAGATTTTTGTTAATTTACGGTCACGGCACGGCTAACATGGAGGGAGCGTGGTGGCGCGTCCTTAGTCACGTGATTTTATCTTGACAGTTAGTATAGTACTAATGCAAGTTTACATCCCTACAGGAAAAACAATTAATCTCAGACCACTGCACGGTTCCGAACAGAGTTCATTCCTTAAATACCATCTCAGCGGACCAGAACGTGTTCCCAAAAAGCATTTTTTTTAATTAGATTTTTGTTAATTTACGGTCATGGTACAGCTAATGGAGGGAGCGTGGTGGCATGTTCTTAGTCACGTGATTTTATCTTGACAGTTAGTATAGTACTATAATGCAATTGTTTCCATCCCTACAGGAAAAACAATTAATCTCAGATCACTGCACAGTTCCGAACAGAGCAGTTGACCAATGGTAAAATGCTCGTATATTCTGCACCTATTTCTTTTTATTTAAAGTACTTTATTTAAAGTTAGAGCGGCAACCTTCATGCATGCTTGAATGAACCGACTCTAATGGTGTTGAAAAGTTATAATGTTTTGAAAACAGACTGAGTTATAAAGTGAATATACAATATACATAGTTTAACAACCAAACTGAGTTATAAAGTGAATATAGCTTTACAACCAAACTGAGTTATAAGTATATAACTTTAAAACTACTCTAAGTATGTAGTGAGGTATAATGAGCAATATTACCCTCTGAAGTGGTTTTATCTTAGACAACTTTAGGTTAACCTTAACATCACGTGGAGCGTTCCTAGCACTGTTCCATTACCTCCCCTCAGTAATATAGACTATAACAACGTCGGACAATGTCCTTGGCAGCACGATTTACCGTAATATCTAGAGGCTGGAACAAGTTTGTCATGTTGGCGGGGACTAGCTCATGAACTATGTTGTTGAGTGCCATAATTTCGTTGACTTTTTCCACCAAGTGACCCTTGAAAACATCATATACTAGACACTAGTAGAGTTTTCTGTGCCTCTGGCAGACCAAGGAGAACCTTTCCGTCGTTAATTTACGGCACAATAAAGTTCTCATAGTTGTCATATTCTGGACAAAATGTTCGAAGTGGAAAAATTTTTGAAAAAAATTCAACGGACTTTAACTTGGACGGACCTTAAATAAACGGACTTTATTTGAACGGACATTAAGATGAACGTTAGGGCCTCCAGCGTTCAATTAATGTCCGTCCAAATAAGGTCCGATAAGGTAAGATCTTTAATTTGATCATGTGCAAAAACTATTATACTGTAATTTTTATTGAATTTTATCATTTATAGATTTTCGTTGTGTAATTTTTTTCCGTTCACGCAATTTCCGGTCAATTAAGGATAATAATATAAAGTATGTAAGCTGTAATATGTAGTATCTAGCACATCACCTACAATCCTCATTACATTACTATTACTCTATTAGTACAATATCTTGATTTGCAAATTGCGTTGACATAATGTTGCTTGGTTGAGGATCAGACATCAAAACCACTGCCACGTAGCCAGTAATGGGACTTTTAGCCTACCTAGACAATATCGACTTGCCTACCCTGACAATATTTCCCAAAAAGCGAACATGTTTATGTTTTCAAGGCTAAAATAAGGTTCTACAGCTATTTCTGTGTTCAGGATGCTGGATAATGTGGAAAAATTCTTCAATTTTCTCAAACATTACCTAAAAAGCTAAAAGACTCGTTGAGATGACGCCTAAGATCAAAATTCTCGGCGAGATAATTTTGCGTAACACCCTGATATTCATTTGTAAGTTACTTTATCGGACATTATTTGAACGGACATTAATTGAGGCCCTACTCCTAACGTTCATCTTAATGTCCGTTCAATTTCAAATGATGTCCGCCGTTTAAGGTCCGTCCAAATATAATTAAATTCCATTAAATATTTTTCAAAAATCATTTCACTGTTACTAACTGCTGATGGACTCTGATACGATTCGTTGATTATTTCGACGTATTGTTTACAGCTTACATTCTTGATTCTTTGATTCTACCTTATCGTTAAGATAAAAGGACGATTAACAGGCAACGTTACGCCAGTCCCCCGTTACCTGATCTCGAGGTGACGTACGACACCTCGTTAACCCAATCAATGTCTGGAAGGCTGCAAATTTTCACATGCCAATGACTTAAGATTCTTAAGGAGTTGTGCGAAATGACGACACAAAGACTCCGCAGAATTATGAGCTACCAGATCCTGGTGGAAGCTAAGCGGTCCATGATATCACGACAGGACCTATTAAGTTTTTGTGTCTCAGTCATTTTTCGTCAGATTTTGATAAAATTTATATATGAACTCAAGAAACCAGCAGCTATAAAAGAGGAACACCCGAAAAATATATTTTTGGTTAAGTTAAAGGTACATTTTGGCGACAAACGCGGGCTTGGAACATTCTTAAATTATGCTTTGACAATAGCATGTCTAAACACTAAAGTAAAGAGCAGCAAAATATACGAAATTTCGTGAGCTATGTAAAATATCCGAATCTGAACTGGTTTCTAACAAATAAAAATCTTAACGATTTTGTTGCAGGGGGTCTATATGATTCGGATGTGACTGGCGGTGACGTGAGATGATAGTTGCGGAATTTGGAAGAAGCGGGAGTGGCGGTTGGGGGGGGGGGGAGGGGGTCTGCGGCGTGCCGGGCTGGGAACAATATATTGAGGTATATATGAACTTATGAAGTAATAATTCACATCTCATTGTGTTGTTCAGTTTCACGGCTTGGTGCGGTGTGGATTCTTTTAGCCGTTATTTATGTTTCTTTTGAAGTTTGTGATCGTTGTTTCGTGATTTTGCCGGTTGTATTTGGGTTATGTGGATTTTCTGTGATGAGTACGTGGTTGATTCGTGTTGTTACTTTTTGATTGGTTAGGTTTTAAGATGTTATTTCTTTATTTGTTGTTGTAATATGTCGTAGTATTGATAGATTATTTTAACATTGCAATTTTGCAGCTATGTAAGTTATCAAACGTAAGTTATCAAACGTCGACAAAGAATTTTGTTTTTACTACACTGAGTGGAGACTCTTACTTCGTCAACTACAATTCAAAATAAATGATTGACCCACTCATATAAGAGCGAAAAAAGACTATCAAAATCTTAACCTGCAATTAGCACATATTTATTAAATAACATATATATATCTATATCTATATATCTGTCATCTCTACTATAATTCAGAGAATTATTTATGCTGTCTGTAGAATGTAGAATGTATGTACGACCGCCCACGTGCAAATTAGACGAGAAATAGGAAGTTGCATAGTGACCATAGTAACGAGGGTTGTTACACGCACGTGCACGTGCAATGATTGTTTTAACGTCATTTTGATCGGTTTTGTTGATATTACGTTGTGTTTAGTGCGAGCAACATTTTAATCAGCTGTATCTTCGGTTGTGTAGGATACTTTTTGACGCGATTAAAACAGACTGCCAAAGATTACTATCAATATTAGATTCCTTCCTGTGACCACGGGTTTTCTAGTCTCTACTGTAATTCAGAGAATTATTTATGCTGTCTGTAGAAAGTCTGTACGACCGCCCACGTGCAAATTAGACGAGTAATAGGAAGTTACATAGTGACCATAGTGACCATAGTAACGGGGGTTGTTACACGCACGTGCACGTGCAATTATTGTTTTAACGTCATTTTGATCGGTTTTGTTGATACTTTGATATTACGTTGTGTTTAGTGCGAGCAACATTTTAATCAGCTGTATCTTCGGTTGTGTAGGATACTTTTTGACGCGATTAAAACAGACTGCCAAAGAATAATATCAATATTAGATTCCTTCCTGTGACCACGGGTTTTCTAGTTATCTTATATAATATTTATCGTCTGGATTTATATCTAGCATGATTTAACAAAACACCGCGTAGACTTTCAAGTGATCCCTGAACACACGGAATTTATAATAGTTGTGTTATCTTACACAAATTTTATTCCAACAAATTGTAGGTACACGCTTAAACAATAAACTGTTGCTAACTACAATATCTAATTGTGATTTTCTAAAATGACTCAATTTGAATCTGTTGGATCAACAGAAGTTCTCTGTCTGCAATGCCAGTAAAGTTTCAGCCTCTTTTGTTATATTTATTAGTTGCCGCAGTCGTGAAATCATCTCTCCGTCACGTACATCTCTCCTGTCATGAAAATGGTAGTACCCTAAATTTTAGGAGTGTTACATCTTGGTGACAGTTGATTTTAGATTTATCTGATTTCCGGGAGAAATCTCTTTATAATTTAATAATAAAAATTGCCCCTCGTACTATACCTGCATTCCTCCCTTATTATGATTACATTGTTTTCTTTATTCTGATACTGCAGTTCCTAAACGAAGCAATTCACCTGCAGTTACCACTCCACCTAATTTAATACGTCAAAACTATTACCGTCCTTTTTGCTTTTCGCCTGGGCTGGTGCATCTCTCGAACTTTAGTGTCGTCGTTCTTCTGTTATAATAGTGTGTGAGCTTTGCCACAAGTCTAAGTCTACTATCTTCTAAAGTTAAAAGCAAAATTGCGAACTTTTCGTTGCCTAAAATAGTGTAATTCATAATTCTTTAAATAGCAACATTTGTTTCCATAAGTGACTGGCAGTTTAATACTACAGCGCTAGTGTGCTTAGTAATACTAGTAGTACTCTTATTACTTTATATATATATATATGTAGAAAGCCCGTGGTCACAGGAAAGAAGAAAATAGCATTCTTTGATAGTAAGTTTTTATCGTATCAAAAAATATTCATCACAACAGAAGATATAGCCGATAATTGTATATAAAACACCGGAAAACACTTAGGTAACTCCACACAACGAAATTACGAAAAAACCGATCAAAACGATCGAAAAACTCATAAGCTGGTGGAGGTTCGTAGTCCCCAGTATACCAAACCTGAGTAGTTGTTTTCATGCCAGCTTTTTGGAAAGAGGGGAGCACTTGGACGAAGCCCCCGGAAAATTTCGCTAGATAATGGCTTTCTAGAAGCTCGGAGAGCATTATACAATGTGAAATTTGACCGTATTTCCATATGTTCTAGATTGTCCTTAATCCTAGCGCCTACGCTTTTTTTTAATGAATTCAATTCAGAAAAGTGCTCTCAAGGGCCGGCAGGGAGCAGTGCTCCCTGCCTAGTGCCTGTCCCAAAGGGAAGATCACGTTCCCCCGGCCCCAGTGGGCCAATGCTTTCCCTGGCTACGGGTATGGTTGTTTTCGTATATTATCACATCTTCAATCTTACTGACTTGTTAATAAACTGCATTTATTTGATAGTTATGATAGTCGGATCGAGCTACATTTTGTTGAATTGTGTTTGGCCATTCGAATAACGTTTGTCCTGAAAAATATTAGAACGTAGCTTCTCAGATGACCGAGATATGAAGCATAACAAGTTTATTCATTACGTGTGATCAGGTGATTGGTTTACCTAATCACGTGATTAGGTGACCCCGTTAACCACCCCGTTAAACATTATTGGAATTGTTAAGGGTGCCCAATTAAGGTGTCGTATCACAGTGTCACATAATCACCCAGTCAATTAAATTAACGAGATACAGAAAATGCTTGATAACTTAGGCGTTCACAGAAAACAATATAGGTGTTTTAATATTGAATGGGCGTGGTCTAAAATATTCCATCAAATTTTGACGACGGAATCCTCGAACCATTTAGTACAGTATGCCATCTGCAAAGCAACAGCTCTCAAATATAAAACACGGCGGAGTTATTAAGGCCAACGTATGTCCACTGACTTTTGGCCCACCCTGTATCAAATCGAAATTTATTTGACATTGGTTTTTCTTTTTCAAATCAATTTTAAAACGGCATGGCGGGTTTGAGCCATAAAATTCCAATTCAATTTCAATATTAAAATAGAAAACGATTTGACATCAGTTTTTTAATCGATTTTAAAACGATGGCGGGTCTGAGCCACCATACCTCTCTTATTTCATAATATGTTATGTCATCGCAGTGAAATGTTGACGAGAATCGAGTATACCAAACCGCTCAAAATACTGCTGATGTCCACCAAGCACAACGCGCTCAGTCAGCGAATTGCACTGGAACTCCAACGGAAAAACTACAACATCAAAATCCAGGAAGTTCAAACAAGAGAATGCATGATATCCGCTGAGCAGAGAGAAAATCCCGATCTGATTATCTGTCCCTTCCTGAAGACGAGGATCCCCAGGGAACTATGGAGTAGGAAGCCCTGCTTGATCCTGCATCCGGGAATAGAGGGGGACCGTGGAGCCACGTCTCTGGACTGGGCTATCAAAGACAAGAGGGCTGAGTGGGGTGCCACCGTCTTACAGGCTGATGATCAGTTTGATCATGGTCCCATTTGGAGTACGGGAAACTTTCCCATGAACCGTCCTGACCAGAATACCCTGACTAAAGCGAGTGTATACGGGCACGAAGTTACGGACACAGCCGCTCATTGCATGACCCAAGCCATAGAGCACTTCACCAACAGCACCCCTCCTCGGACCCTGGACTACAGCAGAGCGGAAGTGCAGGGTGAACTTGTACGCAACATGCGACGACAGGACCGTGTCATCAATTGGAACGAGGAGCAGGAGAGTGTGGCTCTGCGTGTAAAAATGTCTGACTCCTCTCCGGGCGCCATTGCCAGCTTTCAACTGACTAGTGATAGCCAGCCGTTCTGGAGTGAATTGTTCCGGGCCTTCGGGGCACATCTGGAGACGGGGGATCTGAGGAACCTAAAGGGAGAGCCGGGGCAAATCTTAGGACAGCGTGATAACGCCATCCTGGTAAAATGTGGCAAGGGAGCCTTGTGGCTCTCGCATTTGAAATGTGACCTAATCAAGCTCCCTGCTATGACTTGGATTAGAAGAAAAAACCCCCACTGTGACCACATCCCAGTCCTGGAAGAGAACATACTTACAGACAGCCGGGCACCTCTTCCCTTAGTGCCGTACGGTCAGACCCCAGCAACATTCCACTTCCAGGAAATTTGGGTTACCATGACCGCAGACGGAGTGTTCTTTGTTAACTTTAACTTCTACAACGGCGCCATGAGCACTTACCAGGCCAAGAATTTGGAGTCAATTCTACGACGAGTTGAAGAGAGTGGTCTTTGCAAAGTTATCGTTCTTAAGGGTGGGTACAACTTCTTCAGTAACGGAATAAACCTGAACACGATTGAAAGCTCGTCCGATCCAGTAAGTGAGTCGTGGAGTAACATAAACGCTATTAACGACGTCGTGCGCCGTATTGCAACCAGCAGCAAGATCACAATCTCAGCTCTGCAAGGTAACGCTGGAGCGGGGGGTTTCATGATGTCACTTGCGAGTGACATGGTGGTGGCACGACAGGGGGTGATACTGAACCCCCATTACCGGCGCATGCATCTCACTGGATCAGAGTACCACACCTACTTCCTGGCTGAGCGGTTGGGTGAGGCGGAGGCGAGTCAACTGTTGGACACAGCAGAGCCTGTGCTAGCGGAGACAGCAGTGGATACAGGGCTAGTGGACCAGGTGTTGGGGTATGGTGTGGTGCAGTTTCAGGAGCAGGTGGAGGACCTGGCGAGACGGATGGCCCGGTACGGTACAGTTCCACGGGTTACTTTGAGGAGGGAAGAGCGGAAGAAGGTACAGGACTTTCCTCAGTTACTGGAGCGGCGAAGGGCCATGGAGCTGGAAGCCATGGCAAGGGACTTTAGAGGGGCCTCGTACGCGGAGGCACGCCGAGCTTTTGTTCTTCATTAGATTTAGTGTGAGTTACTTGTGCAGGCGCTAGCACTACCCAAGAAGCTCAACAAGCGGAATTCCATGCAAGTTTATGGTTATGTTTATGGTAAGGGTTATCGCGGATTGCGGAATACCTATGGTCGGGTTCTTGGATACTGCCTTTTTTATACAACTTTTACGTTTGAAAATTCAATATGTTTTTTCAATTTTGAGATTTATTTATAAATTAAAACAATTCGAAAATTTTATTTCAAACTTGGTATTAACTACTAGTAAACATCTTGATTCCCCATTTCTCAATCGATTGTTTTATTTTATCAATAAGTGCTGGGCGTGAGAGGAAAATGGCCCGCAACACTTTCCTAGTGATGGCCCTCGACCGTTAATCACTGGTCCAGTCAATGGCTTAAGAATACCAAAAAATATCAAAATATCAAAAAATCAAAGAATATTAAAAACTACTATTCGAGAATGAGTCACTCTTATAATTCAAAGTTTTCCCCTGCGATCGCCCATGTGCAAACTGCAAATTCAGAGTTGCTTTTGTTTACTGTGCGAGTACTAAGCAAATGCAGGAGCATTTTAATTTGCTGTTAGTTGCCAAATATTTAGCATTCACGTGTACGCATTGTCTGAAATTTGGAATTTACATCGTTGTAAGTACGGCAATTTAATGCACAAATGCACGTTTGTCATGCAAAGATGACGGCTTTATTGGCACGACATTATGATGGTTTATATTGTCATTACGTTGTGTTCAGTGTGTTTTACACTATCACCGGTTTTGTCTTCGGCTGGGATTGATAATCTAAAGTTAAAAGGACGTGATACCTGTTGATCTCATTACACGAGGTTGTCTATAACTGTCGCCTGTTGTATTGTCGGTGATTTGGCGGAGTGAACATTGCCAATGCCACCCAATTAGCCGCTCAGCTTATTTCAGACCTATTCTGAAGAAGTCATTTTCTGCACACAGCTATCTGTTAAAGCTTCAATCACGCACAGCCATGTTTTTAGATATGGGCTACAGATGACATCCAGCTCACGAACAAAACTTACTAGGCCGTGCGCCATCGACCGTAAAACGCGCGCGCTGACCATTGCACAATATTGAATTTGAACATTGAATGGTTTTTTTAGCTCGTATTTCGGCCAGCACATTATTTTGGAAACAATCAAAAAGTTATAATAATTCCCATATAACATTTTTTTGAAATTTGATCAGCTTACGTAAACATTTATGTACTGAACCTAAATTAGTTTGAGTAATTTCGATGGTCAGAATTTGAGTTATCAACGAATTTATACCTATTTTGTCATTTTTAGACCTTTTAATCAAAGCCAATCTCTCCCAACTAATTAGGTTCGGTAGGTAAATATGATTAGAAGGTTCTGACAAATTTTTAGCATGATTCATGTCCAGGGACCAAAAATATGACAGAATAATACGACAAAAATCAACAAATTTCGTCAAATAACGCGACTTTTACACTTAATTTTGCTCCAAAAGCCGCGCACCATCAAATATGGCACCTAAGCGAAACTTACTGATCATTCCAAAAAGGTATAACAAATTTGGTGCTGTGAAAATTTTCACAGTCTCTAGAAAACAATGGTACGAAAATGGTACGTACAAAAATTTTTTGAAAATCCGAGCAAGTTTATTTTTATCGTGCACCCCCTAAAACTTACTACTATATACTAGCCAATATAGACCTCCAATTTATAACATGATTAACTTTCTTTTGAACTTCCCGATTCTTCTTCAACGTTTCGACACGTCACTTTATATTTAGCCTTCATTTAAATGTGCCTTTATGTTAATTTTTAAATGTTTACTTAAGTATTGATTAGGAGCGAAGCTCGGTTCATGGTAACTATTATAGTAAGGGTAATGCAACCACTAACCATAGTAACACTGCCATATAAAGTAATGTAACCATGGTAACACTGCCATATAAAGTAATGTAACCATGGTAACACTGCCATACAAAGTTATGTAACCATGGTAACACTGCCATATAAAGTAATGTAACCATGGTAACACTGCCATATTATAAAGTTATGTAACCATGGTAACACTGCCATATTATAAAGAATTATGTAACCATGGTAACACTGCCATATTATAAAGTTATGTAACCATGGTAACACTGCCATAAATTTGTATGTGCGCGTGATCAGTTATAGCTTTATAGGTTTGTCTTTGTACAATTTTTAAAACATCCGCCATTTAACATGTTCATGTTTTAGATATTGGAAGTGGACTTTCGTAAATTTGTCCGACATAATATGGAAGATATTTGTTACATGAGAAATAAAAAGTTTTACAAATTTTAAAAAGCAATATTGTACTTGTTATGACCAGTTTTTGAAAGCATAGAATTCCAATTTCCAGTAGATTAACAAGTAACAACCTGTTCAGTGCAATTAGTGCATCTTAATGCATGCCAGTGGCTTGCCTCACGTTGTAGACCGTATCATGACTTTTGTATTACATATTAATAAAATGACGATGAGGGTCACGACGTGAGACAACCAGTGGCGTAACGTTATACTTTAGTATATAATATACTAATACTATGTGGCCACCAAATCGCCTCCCACAATAAGGTGGAAATGCGATTATGAGTCGATACCTATAAGTTTTGAATGAACCGCTATGATTTTATTTTCCAGATCCAAGTACCCAATTATAGATCTCAAAAATTAGTCGCATAATCGATGTCTGCAGTCTGACCATGTCTAACTCAAAGTCAAATTGTGAATTACAACCATCACATTACATTTACTGTTCACTTTTTAAGCTATAATTTAACGTTTTGTCCATTTTTGTCATTTTAACGTTGCAAAATCTTGTACCAGGAAACATGGTATTGGTGGAGGTGGACCCAATTCAGAAGAATCAGAAGAATCAGAGGGGGATTGACGATCTTATCGAGGAGCTGGTTCGGCACCGGGCATGGAAATATACATTTCTGGTCCTGTCTATCTGTATCACTCAGTTTTACTCCTCTACCAGTGCCTACCTTACTTCATTCGCAGGTACTGGCATTACTCTCAATTATCATTACAATCACGCGCACGTCTAACTAAATTTTATCTAAATTTGACCAAAACCCATGGGTAGAGTGGACCGCTGGCAGTGTCTCTCTTTCCCAAACAAAAGGAAATGATATTAATTTGAATAACCGTCGGCAAATGCAAAATGATACCGAGAATGAAATCGGTCGCTCGCTTATATATAAGCTTATAGATACATAGATACATAGATATTAGATACATATACTTCACGAGTCACGACAATCTGTTGTAAAACAGAGGTTCCAGAAAACCCACTTCCCGATACTTCTGAAACTTTTTTACAATCGATTTGGTCAACATCTAGCTGCCCTGCAAAATTTCAGATCTCTAACTCAATTTTAACATGGTTTTTAAGGCACCTTAATATGGAGATTTTGGGTTTTTACCAAATTTCGTATAACAGTGCTGGCGCGTATTTTGCGTAAATTTCTTAAAAATTAACTTTACTATTTCTTATTCCTGCCATCTTTGACATTGAATTATAATGTTTTGAACTTAAAATATGCCTGCTGAACTAATTTCGGCGAGTCTTAATGCCTGAAAAACAGTAAAAGGGCATAATAGTATGGTGAGTACTGAGTATAAGGGCGACGGTCGTGCTTGCCAGCACTGTGATAAGCTATCTGCTATTATGAAAATTATAATCATTCCATCGACTAATGATTATTTAATTACTTAATTACGTAATTACTTAATTGATTAATTAATTGATTAATTAAGTAATTAATTAATTAATTAATTAATTAATTAATTACTTAATTAATTACTTAATTAATTAATTAATTACTTTATTACGTAATTACGTAATTACTTAATTACTTAATTAATTACTTAATTACTTAATTACTTAATTACTTAATTACTTAATTACTTAATTACTTAATTACTTAATTACTTAATTACTTATTTACTTAATTACTTAATTACTTAATTACTTAATTACTTAAGTAATTAATTAATTAATTAATTAATTAATTAAGTAATTAAGTAATTAATTTCTTAATTACTTAATTACTTAATTACTTAATTGCTATAATGACTACTTAACCGAGTAAATTCAGGAATTGATCCGGAGCCTGGCGACATTTGGTCCTGCAAATCCGAAAAATGCAAGTCTATGACGACTGCTAATCCCACATTACTAGAAGAATTTCCTTGCGACATCACCAAAATTGTGGATGGCAACGTAGAGTTGGTTTTTGAACCGTCGGACATAATATGGCATCTTGAGCGCACCTCATTTTCAGCAGAGTTTGATTTGTACTGCGATGTTGGATCCCGAAGTGCACGAAAAACACTTGTAGCCTCCATGTTCTTCGTAGGATCTCTGTTTGGACTCATAGTTGGAGGTTACGCGTGGGACCATATCGGGAGAGTGAGGGCAGCGATGTTTGCTATTTGTATCACAATCGTTGCGCATCTGTTGGGAACGTGGTGCCATAATTACGGTTTCCTCCTTGCGATCAGATTCTTCACTGGTTTCGGAGATTTCATGACTTACACTGGAACATACATACTACAAATGGAACTGACGTCAGTCAAGTACCGAACCCTTGTTAATGGTTTGGGGGGCCTATCATGGTCACTTGGCTATCCAATCACAGTAGCGATCGGATATTTCAATACCGATTGGAACTACATGTTCCTAACAACGGCAATTGATCGTAGCTCTTGTCTGTAATCTTCACGTATTTGTGTTTCTGATCGAGTCACCGCGGTTTCACCTCGTCAATAACGATATGGAAGCAGCAAAGAAGTCGTTGAAAGCGCTAGCTGCTCTAACTACAGCTAATCTGGACGTAGATGGAATTGAGATTATAGATACGGAGAAGGTGAATGCAAGGGAACAGACTGCCATCCAGCAGCTGAAAGACCTGTGGACTTACCCTGTACTTCTTAAGGAGGGCCTATGCCTGGTACCTCTTTGGTTCTTCATCACCTTGTTCTACTACGGGTTTAACTTTGCATGTGACATGATTCTGCCTTGGAACCTTTACTCTGGATATCTGATGGCAGCAGTTGGAGAGACTATAGCGTGTCTGATTACCATACCAGTGGTACAATGGATGGGAAGGAGAAGGGCCATGATTATCTTCCAGATTCTTTCGGCCCTGGTGTTCCTGATTGCAGTAGCGGATGTGGATTTAGGCAACGATTGGGGATTGGATAGTGTTTGTTCTCTGGTAGGTTTGACGATCGTTACCGGGAATTTTTATAATATCTACCTGTGGACGTCAGAGCTTGCTCCGACATCTCATCGAGGGTTTGCTTTCACTATTGGGTCAGGAGCTGCTAAGTTTGGAGGCTTTGCCGGACCCTATATCTTCAACAACTTGGGTCCAGCTACAACTAGAGCAGTTCCCTGGATTCTCCTCGCTGTCCTTTCGCTTCTCTGTGCTTTGGCAGCATTTTTCTTAGTTGAGTCGGCAGACAAGGCGATAGTTAATGTACCCGAAGAAGTTAAGGAGAGAAGAAAGGACTTCAGATATATGATCTAGTGTGCACTGTACATGGTCAGGTAGCTTCATTTTGGTAAATTGGTGCGGTAAGGAAAGAAGCAGTCTTTAAACATAAGGGGTTATATATTAGTGTACAATGAAGAGCCTTTTATGCTTGCTTAGGATTATTTTTCGGTCATTGGAACCCTCTCTGGAGTGTATCTGTAAACAAGGGAGAATAGCATGTAGGTGAATTATTGTCGGGGGTCGATTGTCGCCCACCCTTCATCGCCGTAATGTCGACAGCACTTTTTTGAAAGATTCAATGACTCACAAAAGTATTCCAAGAAACCAAATTTACATATGAGTGGCAAGATCCGCCTAACTTTCTTACTAACCTTTGGCTATCAGTATCATTCATAACAATATACCCGCGTGTTATTGGTCGCTTTTACGGGCCTTCAAAACTTGGTGAAACTCTGTCAGTTTACTTCTCAATCACTGAATCACAGTGTATTGCTCATGAAAAAAAATATGTGACATCAACATGCTTGAATCTATCGTTGAGTTTCAAATGATAACCCAATATTTATTGTGGATAAAAGAGGTCTAATTTATTTTACGCAAAGAACAAAAAGTTTCTGCTCGAAAAATTATTAACAAAAACTTGTAATATTAGTAAGCATTTCATTTCTTAAAAAACGTTCAAATTTGAAGTATAGTCCGTACATTTGGGAAGGAAATATCATGCCGCTGATAAGTTCTATTTCACTCAGTGTGCTTAAAATATTGCAACGTTATCATAAGAATTGTCTAAAACATTCTTCTCGTGATCACGATTTCTGATGTTATCAGATCAGAGTCGAATAGAAGCAACATGATTGTTTCTCGAACGGGATCAGAAAACAGCAAAAAGTTCAAACACAAGATCTCCCATTTAATAATAGCTGTATCAGATTGTACAGTCTTTGATTCACGTTCCTTGATATGACACGTGATATGACACGTGTGATAAGGCACGTGCCGTCTTAGTTGACTACTGAATCTTTGTGGTGGTGTTGTCACTGAAAAGGAGACATTTAAAACTAGTGAGAAATTTGATTTTATTTATATAATAATATTAATACCGTCATCTGTCATTAATTTTGGGTGATTGAATAACACGTCTCGTGATCAAAATTTTTTACAATCATTTACTTATTCCAAATTTTATTTACGGTATTTCAAATAGATATCGGCCTCCCAATCTTCGAATTTCGGATGACGCGCGCGGTATTAAGTATATAATATTTGGCGTCATCGACGCCAAATATTATAATTTATATACCTAATTATTTATATCGCTTTTAGTTTATCAAAATCAATGGTGTACATAAGCTTGTGTACCTGTTAGTGACTACTACAGCCAAGTTTGAAATGGTCTTCTCCGCTCCAGCCAGCTTCCTCTCTAGTTCTAGTTTCTCATTTAGAAGCGCCTGACATGTCTAAAAAAAGGATCGGTTAAAGGATTATCATTTTTAATCAACATTCCTTAAGTTCTTGACGTTGATAAGGATCGACATATTAATTTTCTAAAGCTTGCCTCGGCAAACTACTACTTTTCTATATACCTTGGTTCTGTTGTGGTCATCTTTAGCCAGGTCATCTTCCAGCTTCTTTGATTCGTAATACACATAGGCATCTTTGAGGGGTTGTAACATTGTTCCTTCGATCTCCGGGAACAGCTAGGATAATGAATTGCTCATGTCGGTGATATATGATTGGAGCACGATAAAGAGTATGAACGGCAAAATAAGTAAACAGATAAGGGTAAATAAATAAGGCTCATTTCTTATTACATACCATTTTGTGCACCATGAAACTTGACCAATTATAAATCAATTATCTACCAATTACCCGACCGATTATGAACCTTACCTCACATAACGTTTCGTAGAGAGGAATAAGAACATATTTTATAAATCCTATCTGAGCTGTTGGTTTAGTGACTTTACTCCGGTCCATGAACGAAGCGACTGGCAAACCCTCGCACTTTTCACGGTCACTCTATCGAGAAAGAATGTTAATTTAGAAACACGAAGATGTAGCAAGTGATTAATTTTATGTTATGGCCCAGCCTGAGCCAAGGTAATACTAATTGTAAAAGAAGATCGCTACAGGAAAAAGCCGTCGGTTTGTGTACATAAGTATGGAGGCAAAAGAAAGAGAATGAAAGAGAATGAAAGAGAAACAGGAAGCTACAAACCTGAGTGAAGTACTCCTCCAGTAAGCACTCAAGCCAGGGCTCCGCAACGCTAAATGGTCTCACTTCATTGGATATATCACAGCACTTAATCATGATAGACTGCAGCTGAAATATTTTTTAATTAATTTGAATTGAAAAATGTTTTGTAGATTACACTCAAGAAATGTTCATATTTGATTCATGAATATCAACAAGATATACTGAAGCCACAACACTAACAGCTAAGAACAAAAACAAAACTCGGAGGCAAGCAAGAAAGTGTCTGTAAAATGCAACGCGCGTTTCAGTTTCAGTTCCACCTGCTTGATGTGTGTAGGATTTTCCCATATAAAACACTTGGAAATAGTCCTGAAATGTGTCACTATCTCTCCATGTCTAGCCATATCTGTAGCTAAGATCAGATCAATGATGCCCTGTCGTATCTCCTTGAATTCGGTCTTGTCCACGTTTGCGAATATGTTTGTCTCTGGCTGCGAAATTAACATCAGAAAAGGAGATTTTATTTTTTTGCTACGCATTATTGTGAGTGGAAGGGATGTAGATTACAAATTTCTACAATACTTACTTACTTGTACTTGAAAAGGTCTCCTCCTAGTCGTTGGAGTGGCCTGCACCACATAGTAACTCCTTTCTCCGGTATATTACAACAACAACAACAACAACAATGGCGAACCTAGCAAGCTAAGATCGAGGGGCCGATCTCCTTTTCTTTTGCGGTGCGGCCACGGTCCATTCGGTACATATTTCCCCGCAGCATAGTCGGTACGCAACTCCAGGCATATACACTCGTGTTATTTTTGCAGTTTGTACCCTGTTTGTTGTTCTGTATCTTCTATCTTTCCATTTTTATCTTTCTATATTCTATATATGTTATCGAAACCTGTGAAGATTGCTGCATCCTCCCGGACACACGACAACCATTTTTTCCGAGGTCTACCTCTTGACCTATTACCATGCTTTGGGATCCAGTGCAGAAGATAGTTAGGTATTCTTTCTTCTAGCATCCTCACCACATGGCCAAACCATCAGATCAAATCTTTTCATCTACGTCTGTGTGGTATTCCATACCTCATGACTTCCATAAAGCAGTATATTGAGGACAGAAGCTTTGTAAATCCTGATTTCAGTTGGTGTCTTGATGTTGCGACTGTATCATATACTGCTAAGCTGATAGAATTCCCCAGAGGCCTTTTGAATTCGAGCTGATAATTCTTTGTCAATTGTTCCATTCGCACTGATGATAGCACCCAAGTAAGTGAAATTGCTGGCCTGCTGTATTGGGAGACCTTCCACATTGATGTCCATAGTGTCGTCTTTAGAATACGGCCTCTGCGATGCACTTTTACTGACAACCATGCTCTGTGTTTTGCCAGCATTCATCTTCAGTCCCGCATAGGCACTGTATTTGCATAGAAGGTCAGTGGTTTCCTGCAGCCCCTCTTTTGAATTATCAGACATGGCCATGTCATCAGCGTAATCAGTGTCCAAGAGATGTTTCTCTTCTACCCCGGGGGCTGCCATATGTAATGAAGCCCCCTTACTAATGACCTTGTTCAGTTCCATAAGGTATGCCGAAAAATTCACACAAACGTTGAAGACTGGTGGTCCCTGTATATCACCTTGCCCAGTACCCGAGTAGACATCAAACTAACCTGTATCCATTCCATTGACCCTGACAGCACTAACTCAAACAATATTAAAATATATCAACTCAATTACATCATTCCTCAATGTCTCAATAAATGTAATAGATTTGTAGTTGTGTAATTAGTTTAAAACTCTAAGATTGGTAAGCTTACATCAGAAAGTATCTCGAAGCACACAGCACAGTGATGATTCTCTAAAGGCGATATGTCGTTGTATCTCACTGCTAGTTCCGTTCTGGCGTTTATCTGATACCTGGGGCGTAAAATATAAACTATAAAGTTAGGATGTATTATTATTTTTAAAACAATGTTAGGTTATAAATTTGCATCAAAAAATATTAATAATTTTGGTGAGTTGACTAGCTATTGTTTTGCGTTTTTGATCCAGATTGAAGTTTGTTGATAGAATAAGTAATAAACTCATCAATTAATTGATATATGATGAGATAATTAATTAATCGATGATTAATTAGATTAAATAATAAGTAATTTGTTAATTATTACGTGTTATTAAAGCCTGGATGATCCAAGTCGTGGCAGATGCAAGCAATAAGAAGAATTCCTAGATCTTTTCTACTAAGCTTCTTTTGCAGGTTACATGAGTGCACCATTCCATACATCTGTAAGTAGTAAAATTATCTGCTTATGATAATTTTATCAAAAGTCGTAAAAATAAATTTGCCTGAATACCTTACTCGGGATTATTATGACCGGGATAAAGTGGTGGGTTTAGGGTAATTTCGCCATATTTTTCCCGAACCACATTTTCACCGGTCGTTAATAAACCCGCCTACTCAGCTTTTAGGGTTCCCAAGGGGTATGGGTGCTCATATTTTAATCGTTGTCTTATATTCACTAAAGAAGACTATTGGGACACTTGTTGTAGGTTTTTCGACTTCATTTGGCTAAAATTGCAAAAAATTCACCTTTTTGCCCAATTCTTGTCATATATCCTTATTGTCAAATTTGATTTAAATAGGCCAATTTTTAATTTCTTAGGTATTGACTATCTCTACATAATGAGATAGGACTCAAAGTAAAAGTAACAGTTAAATTAAAACTTGAATTAATTAAAACTGATGAAAGGGATGATCCAGATGAAGATAACGAAGATGATTACAACTTATTGGAAGACTAAACAGCTCTCCCTTTATCTTAATATCGATCTGGTTGTTACGCTTCAAATGTTAAAAATTATTTTCCATCTAGTTTGATTAACCACGAGTCATTATTTCTGTCTACTTTCAACAATTATTGATAATTCGACTTGTTTCACAAGTTTTAGCAATGCGAAAATTTCTAAACTTGCTTATCTCTAATAAGGAAATTTACATCTGAGACAAAATTTTTGAATCTAAAATTGAAAGGTTGGACACCGGTAAAATGGCGACCGGGAACATGTTGTGGGTTTTGAGCAATTTCGCCATATTTTTCCCGAACCATATTTCAACCGGTCGTTAATAAACCCGTCGTAATAATCCCGAGTAAGGTATGGTACACTGTTTTTGTAACAACTGTGATGGTGAATCGGGGTTCGCGGTAAATATGGGTTTAAATGTATTAATATTTATACTCATCACTTATCACTATACATTTATACTTATCACTATATTATATTGATGCTGCTTATTATTATATACCTTACTCGGGAATATTATAGCGGGTTAATTTATGACTGAGAAAATTAATGACCGGGAAAAATATGGCAGACTTTCCCAAAACCCGCCAAATTATCCCGGTCATGAATTTACCGGTGGCCGACCTTTTAATTTTTTTAGAGGTCAACAAATTTTCAATCGAAATTTCTGTTTTTGTTATATTTTGTTAAAGAAGATACTTCAATTTACAGTTATTGATATTACTCAGAAATAGAAAAAAAGACACGTCTATACGATTCACTGATTCATGGGCAAGAGAAATGAGAATCACGGTCCATCCTGAAATCTGATTTCTATAACCAAATTGTGATTTTTATAACGAAATTATGGTAGCAACAGCCAATAAAGTTACAGCCCTCCATCCACTGCTTCAAAAGTCTTCTCTAGCACATATGAGACTTCAGGTAAAATATGATGATCACCACCCCTTTAAAACCCCATAATCTGACTCGGCAGGTTTTATTATGACTGGTAAAATTTTTGACCGGGAAAAATATGGCGGAATTTTCCAAATCCCACCACTTTATCCCAGTCATAATATTCCCGAGTAAAGTAATATAAGATATAGATACTTATTACTATATATTGATAGTTATTAATGCCAAATATATACTGTACTGATGTTTATTAAGTATTAACAACGGCCGCTTACCATTTGAGCTACACAGAAACAGTGCCGGAAGTTGTGGAAGGGATTGTTGCGGTATTTGTTCTGCACTGCTTTCTGAAGAATAACGTGGTCTAAGGTTCCCGCACTTTTTTACGATAGCACTATAGTACATATTTTATAACAGCATTATAACCTTAACTCTAACCGTAATATAGTCAACTTAAAATGTAGAATAGAATATAAAAGTATCAGTAGTTGGAATTACAATCGAAGCAGGATACAAACATAATTCATAATCCGAGAATCATCCTTCACAGACAATAATAAAAGAATAGACTATTTCTAAACCTCATCCAAACCTAAAATTAAATGAAACCAGTAAAAAGCGACCTACAAGCCACTTCTTGAGAACCATGTTGTTGATCTTAAACTCAGTAGTAAGGTTGAGGTCGGTGAACATGTGCTCCAGCAGGGCCAGCATCTCGTTAGGTTCCCAGTTCCACATGTCGAATGTAGGCTGTTTTAGGTAGGCTATAGTTTCTCCCGACAGGACGTACTGGGTAGAGTTTGTTAAGACAGTTTCATAAACTGTGCAATCGATTAAACCTCTCGAAACGTTGAATTCAAGCTTGAAGGATATGCAGAGTTTTTTATATTTATGTGATGACTAAAATGCCATCAGTTTGTTACCTTGGTAAACTAAAATGCCATCAGTTTGTTACCTTGGTAAACTAAAATGTCATCAGTTTGTTACCTTGGTAGACTAAAATGCCATCAGTTCGTTACCTTGGTAAACTAAAATGCCATCAGTTTGTTACCTTGGTAAACTTAAATGCCATCATTATGTTACCTTGGTAAACTAAAATGCCGTCATTATGTTACCTTGGTAAACTAAAATGCCATAAGTTTGTTACCTTGGTAGACTAAAATGCCATCAGTTCGTTACACTTACCTTGGTAAACTAAAATGCCATCAGTTCGTTACCTTGGTAAACTAAAATGCCATCAAGTTGTTACCTTGGTAGACTAAAATGCCATCAGTTCGTTACCTTGGTAAACTAAAATGCCATCAGTTCGTTACCTTGGTAAACTAAAATGCCATCAGTTTGTTACCTTGGTAAACTTAAATGCCATCATTATGTTAACTTGGTAAACTAAAATGCCGTCATTATGTTACCTTGGTAAACTAAAATGCCATAAGTTTGTTACCTTGGTAGACTAAAATGCCATCAGTTCGTTACCTTGGTAAACTAAAATGCCATCAGTTCGTTACCTTGGTAAACTAAAATGCCATCAAGTTGTTACCTTGGTAAACTAAAATGCCATCAAGTTGTTACCTTGGTAGACTAAAATGCCATCAGTTCGTTACCTTGGTAAACTAAAATGCCATCAGTTCGTTACCTTGGTAAACTAAAATGCCATCAGTACGTTACCTTGGTAAACTAAAATGCCATCAGTTCGTTACCTTGGTAAACTAAAATGCCATCAAGTTGTTACCTTGGTAGACTAAAATGCCATCAGTTCGTTACCTTGGTAAACTAAAATGCCATCAGTTCGTTACCTTGGTAAACTAAAATGCCATCAGTTTGTTACCTTGGTAAACTTAAATGCCATCATTATGTTAACTTGGTAAACTAAAATGCCGTCATTATGTTACCTTGGTAAACTAAAATGCCATAAGTTTGTTACCTTGGTAGACTAAAATGCCATCAGTTCGTTACCTTGGTAAACTAAAATGCCATCAGTTCGTTACCTTGGTAAACTAAAATGCCATCAAGTTGTTACCTTGGTAAACTAAAATGCCATCAAGTTGTTACCTTGGTAGACTAAAATGCCATCAGTTCGTTACCTTGGTAAACTAAAATGCCATCAGTTCGTTACCTTGGTAAACTAAAATGCCATCAGTACGTTACCTTGGTAAACTAAAATGCCGTCATTATGTTACCTTGGTAAACTAAAATACCTCATTATTTTACCTTGGGATACAGCGGGACGTCTCGTTTAGCGCTAACTGGGGTAGTCACGTGCAATCCCGTCCTGGGGATCGTACTGGACTATGGTAAACAGAAATCTAACGAAATGATACACAGAGTATTACTAGCAACAATCCCAAGTCGATGGTCATAATTAGTCAACATGTGTAAACTGCATAATATTATGTTGTTGTGTACGGTCAAATTCATCTTTTATAACAAAAATAATTTCGCAACTCACAGTTCGTCTGAAATTTTGCACTTTAACTTCATCAGATCATTCTTGCACTTCTCCAACTCGATAGCTTGGAAACCTTCCACTGCAATAACTAATATCAAAATGTTATCGAGCTAGGTAAAATTGTAACATTCTGAAAATGTATAAGCCCTCTCCCATTATTGTAATTTTAAGTTCACGTGCGTCATTTTCCTATTATGTTATCTTGTTATTTACTTTCGGGAGCCATTTTTGAGGAAAATACTCAGTACTCACCTTGAAGTTGTGACTCAAGGTATTCTATTTTCTTCATCAGATCGTCATGGTTTCCACTGCACTCCACAACCCTAAAACTTAAAAGTATGAGATGATTTATCATAACCATGAATAAAATATCATTAACAATTTAACAAAAATTTCCATGTTATTTATATAATGATTCAGTATTCTGCTCGTTTCTCTTCCGACACAGTGCTCTAATAAGATAACTTAGTAGCAAATACGAATACAGAAGTAACCTAACGGATATTATACTTGCCGCAGCACTCTTGTTGTCGGAACCTATCTACAGTAACAAACATCTGTATTCTGTATGGTCTACTGAGAAACCTATTTTGGTAGATCCATTGGCAGTTGGCACTCAACAACTATAATGACATAGTATCTTGCTGTCCTGCATTGTCAAAGTTTTTTATAATACTTAACTTGTACAACATAACCAAGAAAGAAGAACGTACCTTTCAAATATTTCCCCCATATTTGCCATAAGTCTTTTTATCTCCATTATTGAGTCTCTCCTTGCTGTCGTAACAAGAAGCTGATACGGCTTACTGCAGAGGATAAGGTTACATTTTTGTCGCTTATAGTTGGGAAAATCGCTTTTATTGCCCAAAAACCTTGTAACTATAATAAATCATTGTTATCCCTTCTCATTGTCGCCTTCTGACCCGCATGGGAATAATTTCCTAAAAGTGAAACTCTCTTGTGAGTAGTGATGACACGTGACACCTACTCGTGACACGTGACACCTACACGTGACACCTACACGTGACACCTACTCGGGGGAGTTACAGTCGAGGGTAGGTGAGATGGGTACGAGATGTCCCTGGTGGTCGACCAGTTTCAGGGAACTGTTGTGGGGAGCACAGCACACAGCTATAAGTAACTCCTTCACATCGTGTGACGTACAGGACGGAGAAAATGCTATCTGAAAATAGGGGGAGTATTGAGGTACATGACGAAGAGGACTTTTTTGCTGATTTTATGATAATTAATTAGATGGTAAGGATCAACCGGGACCAATTTTTTAGGCTGGGACCAGGACAACCCGGGAGGCGGGAATATTGAGATAGGAGAGAGTAACTGGATAATTCTGAGCCTCTTTCAATTGATGACTCATAAATATATGATATTGTATATTGATGATATGGTTTCAACGGCGCTAATTATTTTTAAAACATTTTGGAAGAAAATGTGAATTGGGAAAATAAATTCGAGTTTACCGTAAATCAGGGTCATTGTGTATCTCTTAATATCATTTTCAGAGCATTGACTTCATTTAAACAAAACAATTTAAATTATATGCTCGTCGTTTGAAATAGGCAGATATATGATTCGCTTAATTAATTAATCAACCATTCAATTATGATGAAAAACTGATATAAATTAATTTCTCACAGTTTCGATATTTTCGTTGTAAGAAATGTAGAGCTTTTTTCGTTTCTCTATTCCAGTAGAATGAGATCGTCCCATTTTACCCTGAAATTGGCGAAGGTTGTTGCAATAACTATAATTAAATGTTTTAAATGATTCTATTTCGAATCTTAAGCTTTGAACTTATTATATTCGTATCATGTAGATTAATTTAGCTAGCTTATACGAGTTAGGATTATTATTCTTTAAGTTTTTTCATTTCACATTCATTTCGATGTAAAATATAAGTATCATTTTATTTTTGTCTTATGAGCAACAAAAATAAATAATTTTAATGTACTGATAACATGACTGAGCGAGAGTTTTGATCTTAAAATTTCGGCGTTTATCTCAATAAGTGTTTAGTACAGTACAACCCCGATTTACCTCGGAATTTGGGGGGAGGGGGGAAGGAGTGGGTGAAATGTCCGCGGTATATGAAGGTTTAAGTGTCAAATAGGGCCTCGGTAAATCGACGTTTCACTGTAAAAAGGAGAGTTGCAAGGAACAAATTATAAACCAAAATCGTGCGACAGAACTTAAATCATAAAGCAACAAGATGAATTAATAAAGTTACCTGGCCCTCACATGGAGGTAGGATAATAATGATAATTTAAACGAATCCGCCCGTTAAACTGATTATCACTGTCAAGAACTTGCAAGTGCTCTCACGACTACAAATTGTTTCTTTTCGTGGTACAATATGTCGTCAACTATTATTGATAGCAAGCTTAAGTCTAAACTTAGATATTCAATATTTGGCATGATCATGAACGTGGGCGGTCTATTATTATCAGAGTTCACTATTTCCAACTGCACAGCGGCGCGTTACTACAAAAGCATAAACAATCCAGCAACCATCGGCATTTTAGCTCTCATATACATTGTCTATTACACATTATAATAGCACCAAAACAAAACGTGCAACAAATAAAACATATCATAACTAATAATACTGATATAACAGAACGGTACTCCGCAGGACGGCCCTCTTTGTACTTCAGACGCACCTCACACGAAGCTAAAGAAAAAGGCGACGTGACTGCCCCATCTAAAACGGATTACCTCCCCTGCCAAGAAAGCGCCGGTACACTGTAGGTATAACGTCAGTGCATAATATTGACATGTGTCAAGGGTGAGATATTGCTGGGGTCGAGATTATTAATAGGAGGACTCTGGTGGTGAGGGGGCTGCTGTTGAGAGTTATAAACTTTCGGGGGAGAAGTGGCGTGATATTTGAGATTTCCGTTTAAGAAGGTTTGGGGAGTTGGAAGAATTAAACCGTCACCTTTGACCTTTGCACCTTGCTACTGGGTATTATACTAGCATGAATACATAATGTGGACTTATAATGTTAAATTTAGGACGCTTGAAGTAAGGACTGATTACTGTGGTCCCTGTTGCACTGTTATACTTATACACGTATAAAAATTGCAAATGTTATGAAATTATAGTCAGTTATTTAGATTATAACTATCATCATCCAATTCATGTATACGCAGGCAATCACTGCTAGGGAAATTTTTTTTCTTGTGTTTGAAGTCTAATAACTCATAACCTTTTCTTCATTGTTAGATTTTTTCCCGATCCATGACTCAAAGTGCCGAAGGCACAAAAGAGTCAAGGACAAGGGTTAGCGAACGAGGTTTTTTTGTATATGGTAGCTTTCCTAGACTACAATCACACATATCAGTCACACATACCAGACACCAGTCACATATATAGCTCTAACGACACATTAGAAACGGTATAAAAGTGATCCCGGTGTCGCGCATATGTGATCTTTGGTCACCATGGTTACGTCAGGGGCTTCAGTTAGGGTATACTGTTAGGCGGTGCACATTTAGGTGTTAGGGTTGGAGTATTATACAGGGTGGGCCAAAAGTCAGTACCCATACGTTGGCCTTAATAGCTCCGCCGTGTTTTATATTTGAGAGCTGTTGCTTTGCAGATGGCATACTGTACTTACTGGTTCGAGGATTCCGTCGTCAAAATTTGAAAATTCGAATATTTTAGACCACGCCCATTCAATATTAAAACACCTATATTGTTTTCTCTGAACATGCTGAACGCCTAATTTTTCAGAGACGGTAGATTATCAAATGTTGCATATGATCTGAAAATATGATGCAAAACGGATTAGAAATGACGAAGTTATCAAGCATTTTCTGTATCTCGTTAACAAAATTGACTAGGTGATTATGTGACACCGTGACACGACACCTTAATTGGGCACCCTTAACAATTCCCATAATGTTTAACGGGGTAGTTAACGGGGGCACCTTATCACGTGATTAGGTAAACCAATCACCTGATCACACGTAATGAACAAACTCGTTATGCTTCATATCTTGGTCATCTGAGAAGCTGCAGTTCTAATTCTTTCAGGACAAACGTAATTCGAATGGCCGAACACAATTCAATAACATTTAGCTTGATCCGACTATCCAAACTATCAAATAAATGTGAAAATGAACCTCCATTTGAAAAAAATGAACGCGAATATTTTTCGAGTTGACAAATTCCTCGAACCAGTGGTGGTACTAAGTCATACCAGAAAGAAGTATTTAAATTGGGCACTCAGTGACTGAGCTATAAAGGCCAACGTATGGGTACTGACTTTTGGCCCACCCTGTATAACTGTAGGGCAAATATTAATGACATCCGTCTTCTTTCTACCAAGCGGTACAGGCTATCTCAAAATCCAATCATATTTTTCATTGAAGATCAACAAAAATATCATAAAGATCAAAAGTTTCTGACAGTGACAGTACTAGTAAGTCTAACAGCTGAGAACTTGTCGCCTAGTATAGCTCTAAATTTGCCCTGCCATACTTCTACTTTTGCTTCCATATTACTCTCAAAAAGTGTTGGAGCGATATTACATTTAAAATATTTAACAGGTGATTTACTCTCAAATGATTCCACATTGGAGGTATATACCGACCAAAAGAAAGGGTATTAATTCTTACTTCTTGCTTGATCTTTAGAAACTCAACAAGCTGCAAAGGTCCAGACCAATCAATCATGAAGAAATTAATTCTAAACCTTCGTTTTTTTCGAGGACATTTAACAACCCAGCTTACTTTGATGCCACCTACATGACATTATAAGATTATAGTAATGATGATCAATCACTATATATATACGCTCACAGCTGTGCCTAACCAACGAACGCCCCTAAATCTAATCCATAGCCCAATCATATGTCTGCCAAAACTTTTACCCTAATGACTTAATGAAAAATTCGGCCTAACTTGCTTAAATGGGCATGTCACTTGATCATAACTTCAGTGTTCAATCATCATAACTTCCTTAAATGGGCACCTGATCATAACTGTTCAATCAGCATTCGTCAGCGCTGATCCTATGTGGGGTGATTCGGGACTATGGTATCAGGACTGTCCATCCAAGTTGGTTTCAAATATCGGGGCCCTTTCAGAATAATATATGATATCTCTACATTCAAATGTAAGGCGATAACACAAATTAAACACACTAGATAGCTAAATGTAATGAATGATGAATAATTTGATTCTTTACTGTTTAGTACTGTGTGTAACTGTAAGCAAAACAGAAATTTCGGTTTATTAAGTGTAACCTTTTCGATTAATCGCAGATGAACGATTGAAATTGGTAAGCCAATTAAACATAAACGTCATAATTGAAGTGGTGTTTTGTTAGTAAATAAGAAGTTTAAAATACTGCAGAGTCAAATTTTATCAGCAGTTTTAGATACAACTTATTGATACTTTATTTTAATTTATTTCAAATTTGATAAATGTTCGCTTCATTTGAGTTTATGGAATTGTAAAGCATGAAACAATTTATTAAAAAATCATATTTTCATTTTAATCTTTAATTTAAAATTAAATTATGATAAATTCTGATAAAAGATTTAGAAACATTACTGATAATTATATCAATAATTATTATCTAAATATTAGTAATAATTACCTGAATATTAATAATAATTACCTGAATGTGGATGAGCAGCCGGCGGGCCGGGTTAGGTGAGGAAGCCAGTTTGTTTGTGATCTAATAATGGACGTTATCAGTGTTATATCAACAAATTAACAAATAAATTATATAAACAATGAAGAAATAGATGTTGCTAATGCAGAGAGTGTAGAAATAATGCTCTATAAGTATCAACCGCGATATAATTCAATGTAATTGAACAGCCGAAGATTATAAACTCAAAACACGTATAATTCATCATTTAATTAAAGTCAATAAACAGTGTTTCATAAGCAATAAGCATGTGAAACATTTATATTAATCGGGAAAAATTAGCCAATGTAAAAGCCAAACCCTCAACCACTTCATCAGTATCACGGAACACTACACACGACAGTAAACAATACCACGCGACTGCCAATCCCTCTCCAATCACTCTCCAATCCCTCTCCTATCACTCTCCAATCACTCTCCAATCCCTCTCCGATCCCTCTCCAATCCCTCTCCAATCACTCTCCAATCACTCTCCAATTCCTCTCCGATCACTATCCAATCCCTCTCCAATCCCTCTCCAATCCTTCTCCAATCCCTCTCCAATCCCTCTCCAATCCCTCTCCAATCCCTCTCCAATCCCTCTCCAATCCCTCTCCAATCCCTCTCCAATCCCTCTCCAATCCCTTTCCAATCCCTCTCCAATCCCTCTCCAATCCCTCTCCGATCCGTCTCCAATCCCTCAACATTCACCAACACTAATAATATACCTGCACAGTGCACAAGATGCCCAATACTGAAATTCAGATGCTGTTTTTTGTAAACCATTTTACTAATCAACACAAGTTCAAATTCCATTTTCAATCTTCACCAATTAACCTTACAAAGCATCTACTAATTGTAAAACAGGGTACAGAACGTAGAAAGTGAGCCCTGAACAGTAATCACGTTACAATTGACTAAAAGCAGCTGCCAATAATCTCTACCCCACACCAGAACACAGTGCACTAATAACATGTCCGATATTGAAGTGGAAAGCCTGGTGACACACGGTCTCCCCTGACACACGGTGAGTCCTTCAGAGAGAGAGAGAGGGGGAGGGAGCACTACTTGAGCCAGCATTTGAGTATAATGAAAGCAATAAAACCATAAAGTTATATAACACTTAAAGTTATAATACCTGTCCTAGGAACTGACAAATCTAACTGACGTAATGTACGTCATGAAGCAGACCAATGGGAGTCAGCCGATAACGTGACGTCAGCACTTTTCTACCAATCACCGATCAGCTCGGATTTGATGACGTCATTTTTCCAAAAGACGACGGAGGGAGAAATCTATTATTGATATCGCAACATCATGGAGTCATGGTGGTGCCGGGCAACCTCGGCTGTCACCGAATCACTTTATTGATTTGGTACACGTGCTGAAGGCTTTTAGGGTTGCACTGCGTTAGTTAACGCCTACTTAGTCACAAGATCACTAAGTTTTATAACTTATACTGGGTTTTGTTATTGCATCTTGCTCAATTAAGATATGTTATTAATTAAAGTGGGTGCAATTTATTTTTTTGTGAAACTTGTTTTCGAGATAAGATTTGATCAAAAAACTAGGACCGGTGACCAAAACAATAGAACTCGATAGGGTTTCAATATATTTACATGAAATTTTAAGAATCAACGTAGAATCAAATTTCGAGCGAAGTCAGTTTTGCAAATATCGCGAACTGAAATATGGGCGATTTTGTTCATTTTTTGCGATTATTTGAACACAGAATCCACATTTAGGTAGATATTGAGCTGATAATCATAGAGAATGTGTAGTATAGGCTTACCTTCCATATAAAGTTCCATTCAAAAATATGGATATTTGACCAATTTATGGGCCAAAATCGATGGATTTTGGCTTATAACTCAACCACTTTTTGTCCAATCTTGATGAAAATTCATATAGGAGTTCAGACTTCAGAGGACCACAAGCTACAAGTAGAGCACATAAAATCTGGGTTTTATGCATGTTCAGGGTATTTGGCTAAATTGGGCCTAATTTGGACCAAATATCGGCGTGGCTGCCCCGTGGGCACCGTTTGGCGGTTGGGGTCCGGTACTCTATCGAAAGTTCGGTCGCCGCGGTCCTAGTTTGTTGGTCTCGAAAATAAGTTTCACAAAAAAATCAGGGTGAACCCCCCCTTAAAAGTTTAAGATTTGTCTCGGGCTGACGTGAGAAGGTAATATCTTAATATAGGTTTAAGGGACCGCAGGAAGAGGACTACAGCATGTGCCTATTGTGCAGGTATCATGTGACATCACGTGTAGGTACCAATATGACAACCAAGTGACATCACGTGCGGCACGTTCGTCAGCCAACACGTGTGGATGACGTGAGTATTCATTATTGTGACGTCATATCCAGCATGAAGGCCAAGAAAAGTAATATACCACGTATGACATTGTGGCCGGTTCATAAAGAAATATTGCTGATTAATACAGCAGGGAGCAGGGAGCCCTATTGGTCTTATGAAAGGTTTTTATGTCATGAGTTGACGTGGCTGGGGAAATCCATTTATTTGCACGCATATACGTTACGTAATTGAGGATTGTTCGCGAATGAAATGTAGACACTACCGTATAGATTAATTTTATGTTAAGTTTCTTCATTATTTCGGAAATGGTCACTATAATTTTTTTATTTACAAATTACTTCAAACAAAAATTTACAAAAATCCAATGCAAATCCTGAAACTGAAATATGATACAGTTTTAAAATTAACGATTATTCCCAAAGAATAAATCATAAAAAAACACATTTTTAATGGTAACATTTTAATGGTAAAGTTCATTATAAAGAAGTCCTACATAAAAAGTGGAAGTATCACCCTTGTTGGTTACACCTCCCGGAACATGTGCTGGTCAGTTTGTCCCCCAACTCCATCTCACCAGGAACATAAGAAAACTTGTTAGAACACCCCATATCATAGAAAGCAAACCTCTTCACCTTCCCGTAAACTTCCTTACACTCACCAACAAGTTCCTGCTTGTAAAGAGTCACTCCATTAATGCTAACCTCAATTACACCATCCTTCATGAACAGCCCCCATGATGTCTCCCCCTTTCTAACGATTGCCTTCCTCAAGGCTGGAGGGGTACGACACTGAACACAGCCAGTCAGAAACAATCTGCCAATGTTCCACTGGAACTTCCCAATCCCTCGTCCATGTTCGTCGTACAACACAATTGAGCTGTATCTCCTCCATTTAACGATGGAGTGGACTAAAATCTCGATGCCGTGATCAGAGTTTTGAAGGTCTTGTTTGATGGTACAGTTTGGGTTGGCACAGTAGCCGCATTCCGGGGTCCAGCAGTCACATGTAGTTATAACTTCTGAAATTAAAAGTTGGTTTAGCAGTCATATGTTGTTATTTCTTCTGAAATTAAGAGTTGGTTTAGCTGTTATTTATTCTGAAATTAAGAGTTGATTTAGCAGTCATATGTTTTGAACATTTTAAAAGGATGTGGTTGAATACAAAACAATTGTTTCTGTTTTTTTCTAAATTTAAGATTTTTTTAAACGATTTTAAACTGAAAGAATAGTTACAAGAATTGCATGATAAAGAATTTAAAACGTAGAATACACATGCAATACTGTTTGCCGTACAAATCTAAGAAGTCTAGAACATCAGTAAAAATAATAAATTACGGAAACACCAATTAAATGTTCATTAAAAAAATTACTATGAAATAAGTTTATCTAAGCTATTGAATTTGATCACTTGATGATTTATCCATTCAGAAAAAATAATAACGAGCTCCCAAGTTTCCAAAATATTTAAATATATATTATAGGTTGTTTTAAGGCTGAAAAATTAAAATCCACGTAACAAGCTTAATACAGACCTGTCCGTGAAATACAAATTCGAACTAAAATACCAATAATCGACTCTTTAACTCTTACCATATCTACAGTTAGCTAGAGAAGTAGAGCCAGGCTTTGAAAACGATCCATCAGGACAATCAGTACAAAGGAAGGCTCCATCCTCACTGTAAGTGTTCTTCCAACATCGCTGGCATCCAGCCAAGGTCCAGTAATAGCCGGCTGAGCATAGTTCTGGGAAGTGGGATATTTAACTGTGTCAAGAAGCCACAACAAATAGTTAATTGTTTGACATATACTTAATGATAAATCATAAAATAAACACCGTCAATGAATTCACAGCCTTCTACGATGTTCACAACTAAAGATATTCGACAAACAAGAATATATCAAACCCCTACCATATTCACAATCACTCTCATCAGTAGAGCCAGCAGCGGAGAACATTCCCTCCGGACACTCAGTACAAGCGTAAGACCCCTCCCAACTGTAGGTGTTTTCTCCGCACTCCACGCACTCCCCGTTCAACGCGTAATTTCCCGCCACACACGAAACTGGGGAATCTTGGGTACGGAGTTAGTGTTTTATACTTTTATAGTTGCCGCTTATAGTGACCCATTCCTTGCAAAGTTGTTTTTTCAAGTGGCTTAGAAAGTTTGTGATGGACATCAAGTTTTGCCATACTTTAAGTTTAGATATAAAGTATATTTCTATATAAATATTGGTGATGGTCCTTAACTAGAATAGAAATACACGTAATAGATCCTATTATTAAATCGATATGATACTATTTTTGTTGGCCTTTTGTTAGCCTGTTAATATAATAAACCAAGAAGTGGTTACCATGAAGTACAGTTTCACAAAGTTCGATACTGAATAGAATCTCTCAAATGAGTTTACTCACCTTGCGCTGGTCCAAACACAAGCTCACCAAACTCTTCGTTCTCAATCGACTCCACAAGTATGGAAACTGTCTTAAACTTCATCACTTTCCTGAACCCATCCCAAGTTCCCCTTTTCCTCCCGTTAATATCAACATCAATGCTAACCACCGCCCAGAGGTTATCTCCCGCATTTCTTATCTTTACTCTCAGCAACTTCCCCAGTTTAGCGTCGAACTCAAACGTGCAGGTGCCTGTAGTGAGAGCGTGAAGTAGATGTGAAGTAGATGAATTAAACATGAAATGACCAAGAAGAACACTAACGTAGATGTGTGAAGTAATATCAGTAATAAATATCAGTAATAAATATCAGTAACAAATATTAGCGATAAATATCAGTAATAAATATCAGTAATAAATATCAGTAATAAATATCAGTAATAAATATCAGCAATAAATATCAGTAATAAATATCAGTAATAAATATCAGTAATAAATATCTGTGATAAATATCAGTAATAAATATCAGTAATAAATATCAGTAATAAATATCAGTAATAAATATCAGTAATAAATATCAGTAATAAATATCAGTAATAAATATCAGCAATAAATATTAGTAATAAATATCAGTAATAAATATCAGTAATAAATATCAATAATAAATATCAGTAATAAATATCAGTAATAAATATCAGTAATAAATATCTGTGATAAATATCAGTAATAAATATCAGTAATAAATATCAGTAATAAATATCAGTAATAAATATCAGTAATAAATATCAGTAATAAATATCAGTAATAAATATCAATAATAAATATCAATAATAAATATCAGTAATAAATATCAGTAATAAATATCAATAATAAATATCAGTAATAAATATCAATAATAAATATCAATAATAAATATCAGTAATAAATATCAGTAATAAATATCAGTAATAAATATCAGTAATAAATATCAGTAATAAATATCATGACAGTACCAGCAGAGCCCCGGTCTCGGTTAGCATGACAGAGCTGTTCTTCTGATTCAGCTTTAGTGCCCACCAGGGTGAAGTAAAAGTCTGTTTCTCTACTTCCGTCCCAGCGCCCAGGGCCAGTTTCGTGGGTTAGTGTCACTGTTTTAAGCCGGGCGTGTAGGGTGTAGTCATCTGTAGAGATTTTATTATAGAGTAAGTTATAGTATTAGTAAGGTTACTGAATAACCGTTTAAGATTCTACAAATAAGGTTAAAGCTAAGTAACAAATGGTTGATTTTTTATTCGTTAATTGATTGATTGGTTAGTTAACTGTTATACTTATTATAATAGTAGGTTATATTACCGGGCAACTAAATTACCACTCCTTCACTCACTCTCCACATTTTAACATTCTTTCAACAATTTTCATAACCAACTCACAACAAATGAAATACACAAATTGTTTGCGAGTTGCGTTAAAATTACAAATGAGAAAAGGACTAACCTGAGGTTGCGATGAACAGAAAGGAGAGAAATAATACTGTCTGCAAAATGTGAGCCATTACGACATGCGGCCGGTCTGTTCCGGCTCTCTGGTGAAGATATCAGTCAGTCAAAATAAGAAATGAAGCGGCCCTATATAAAGTTAGAAAGTTAGTCACGCCATTCAACGCGAAATAGCTAAGAATAGTTAATTATTGGCAGAAGAAGATCCAGTAATTAATCATTTCATCAATATTGCCTGCAGATAATTGGGTCAAATCGTTATCGGTTTATTTCGATAATTTGATCGAAATTTATGATGTAATCCTTTAAGATTTAATCCTTGATAAATATACTATTTCTCATGAACAATAGTAATTCTAGTATCTAGTGTAATGATAACTGCCGTGCGCTAATATGACTTATAAGCCATACCTATCACCTACATAATTTTAAATAAAGGGTAGAGCAGCTCATCATATGAAGACAGAGTTATGACTTATGTCACGTCCTAGTATTATTTTGGTTATTAATTATATAATCTTTTAATATAAATTCTAAACAAAAATTAGAAGAGAAGTAACACGTGGTGAAGTTCTACGAGCAACCTGCAATCCTAAACTCTACTGATTCTTATTTCATCATTGAAATCAACAAACTATAAATTTTAGATTCTTAAAATAATAATACAGCAGGTAATTTACACGACTAGAATCAATGCAACTTTTAAAATGAAATGTATGTATATCTGGAACAGTCGATCAAAGAATATTCCATACTCCAACTTGAAGATCAACCTGATGACCTCTTCTAACGGTTAATAGAAAATCACAATATCAGAATATTCCATCAATAGTCAGCCACCCTGTACGGCTGCAGAATGTTTGGATTTTCGACGCCATATTTCGGGCAATGATCTTACGAGTAATATCCTAAAATGTCATTACCAAGACCTTATCACTTTATTAAATTTTAAAGGCCATTAAATGGATTTCTTGGGGCAGTTTTGTAACACTCATAAGTTCCCTCAACCATGATCCGTGTACTAATTGAATCGTCACAAATTAGGTTTTTGTTTATAAATGATTCTTAGCAGAAAACAGGATGAAAGCGGGATATCTTAAAAATCAGAATACGCATTTTGAAACTGAGTGAGTCATCGTGCATCGTAAATGAAAATGTAAAACACTTATTGCGACGACAGTCGACACTAATCACAATTTACAGTAGACAATAGACATGGATCGAACCGATTAAAAATTACAAATCAGCCATTTCAAAAATGAACAAATCTATAGTTTTCCAACTTTCCTTGCTGCTTGTTGTTCTACTTCGGAATAAGTAGCACACTAGTATTATCACATGCTGTTCTTCGCTGTATTACTTTTTTTAAACCAATTTTTCTTACTCTCTATTCAAGTTATTGACTGAGGTATTGATCGAGGTAAAATAATTGAGATATCAAGTATAAAGAGCTGGTCACATTGTATAACTATTTAAGTATTTAGCAAGTTAGCACAGTATCAATAACATCAGTCATCAACATTTTGATAATATTTATAGTTGTGTCTCATCAGTCATCATGTTCATAATTAACTTATTGAGTGCGTCTAACCCCCCAGTTCCATGGCCAGATATTATTCCAAATTATTAGACGGAGGTCCATTTCCCGTAGATCATCTCCGGAGATGATTCTCCGGCTCCGTCTACTGTATTAGACGGAGATGAAGCTCTCCGGGAATTTCTCGGAGATTAATTCATACAGAATCATACAGAATCAAAAAAATTACCGTAGATGGTCTCCGGTCGTGAAACTGCAATCCGGAGAAATATCCGGAGAACTATCAGTAGACGATCTCCGTCTAATAATTTGGCATAATATCCGGCCATGGAACTGGGGTGTAAAGTATATTGCAAGTATGAACCCGTAACGATGTTGGGAAGATTTCTAGGAAAAAATCAAGAGAATCACTACCAGCACCAATCTTAGACGCGTTTACAAAAGAATATTGACGACAAAACGAATGATCACTACTAATAGGGGCAGGTATTGTTAGGCCGCAATTGACCTGTATAGAATGTTAAGTTGATTTGTATGAAACTCCCAGCTTCTTGCAGGTTCAAGTCCTACCCTAATCTTATCAATATCAATCATCTGCAGCCGTTCAAGCATTTTTGTAATTGTTTCCCATTGCATTTGCAGCATTTCTAACCCTGTATGAACCCGAAATGGACCCATTACCTAATTATAAACCTATTATCTCGGCTAGTGGTGAGGGAATTTTAATAAAGTTTCAATCCTGAATATTATCAATGCCAATCATCATCGTTCCAAACATTTTTGTGGTTTTTTCCGAGTATAAATTATAATTTTTACCCATCACGAATAATATACCATTGCATACCTATAAGTTTAGCTTCTGGGAACTTTCTTTTTAGATCTAGGTGCATGTTAACATAATTATAATATCTGTTGTCTCCGACGATGACATTTCCTGGATAGTAATGCAACACTATCGGTGTACTCGCATCATGAAGTCTCTTCATCCATGAGCATATGATAAAGCCTAAAGGAAGTAAAGAACGGATACATATCACCAGGTTGGAATTGTACATAATCTGCTGTTGTTCGACCAAATGACAGAGCTCGGACCTCCAGTCCGTCATTACTGGAGGCAAAAGCACAAACCAGGGAAAGTGTCACAATAAAAGTGATTATTATTGATGTACAGAAATTAACGAGGATTAGTAATCGACAGAAATATGGTAAGCTCAATACTGGCGTGGGGCGTTGCTGTGGCAATCATTTACAGACTCACAACTTATTTCTATGGTTTTTGGGTGTGATGTTAAAGGATAATATTAGACATGGAACATTATATAGTATATTACCCTTGTTATCTGCCATTAAACTTATAGTACAACGTGAGACAACGTGAGACACTACTACTATTAGTAGGCTAGGATCGTTGTCTCACTTTGTTACTGTTCGCTATACAACACAATACAAGATACAAGGATGGCCTGAGGTTCTTATCTCCTTTTCAGTAACCCTAAGCCACTCTGTGCCGAGGCACTATACTAGCTGTAGGGGGGTTAGTCATACGAGCCAGAGAGTGTGTATCACCAGCCGAAGCTGTACCAAATCACAGCTTGGTAACTGACCGATTTGCATCCGACCGGATTTGAACCCGGTCCTTCTGCTTGGGTGGCGATCGTGTTACCAACTTTTTAATCATGATAATAGTGTGGCTTCGTAACCAAATGTTTTCTATGTTTTTTAATAGCTGAACTTGATTCAAACATATTCAATTTCCAAGTTAGAGCTCACAGACTATGCTATAAAATATTACATATACCTAGTAAGCTAGTATATAGACTATTAACATGCATATTAAGTCCCTCGACAAAATGTAGCTTACAGCTATATATTACAGTAGGAAACTACACTAATTGGTGATGTTGCTGGGACGCTGTTAAAATATCATGCAGAATCGTTGACAAGGTGAGGAAATCGTGAAGGGGCCAGGGGGGGGGGGGGTTCTTGAAACATACAAATTATACGAAAGGTTGTTTAGATTGTTAAAAGGAAATCAGCCTAAATACGCACTGATAAAAGTAATGACGATACTAATTACTAATACTAATAGTAATACTAGTAACTACTACAGGGCGGGTTAGAAACATCTTATTCTTATGAATCGGTCTCCCTGTATTTAATGTAATACGAGAACACGAATGATGCCGATTGAGCGAGACACGAAGTTTATTTGATAAGGATAATTTTGTGTTGATTTGAATAAATTCGATTATTTGGGGCAAGATGAGTGTTATAAATAAAATGTTGTCGACGCTTCGTCACACGCGACGTTGTCATGGACGAGACGTTGCAATAACTCCTTACATTGCTCAATAAATGTAATAGATTTGTAGTGTTGTAATTAGTTTAAAATTTGAATAAAGTTTCGACCCACTTGCAGACTAATCTCACCCATTTTCCCGCTCCAAAAATTTACTTCGTTGAAAGAATGATGTAATTTGGTTATCTCATTTGTAAATATTATGATAATTTAAGTGTTCTTCAGATTTTTGATCTTACGACAACGATATTCTAATAATTTAATTGGTGCATAGATTTTGACAGTAATTTGTTTTTCCGCCAATAGTAATACCAGCAATCGACATGAAAACTAGAATAGCTGAATGTCAAAGCGACATTGGTCTGGAGAAGACTGAACAAATTTAAAACACTTTTTAATCACACATTACATAAATGTCGGGGCTGCAGGGATCTTGACGGCTCGATCAATAGACAACATTATTTTAGATTTCGAGCTAAAACGAGGGCTTGATTTGTGACTCAGAATAATTTTGTCAGAATAAGGCGGTAATTGTGCGGTTACAAAAATAACTTGTCTTAAAACTAACTCTCGTCGGTAACAAAAATAACTTGTCTTAAAACTTTCCACGTAGGCCAGACGGAGCTGTGAGTGATGGGTGGGGTGGCACGTGACTTGCATGTATGAAGCTGTGATTGGTCGTTGTTAGAAATAGAGGTAGGTGAAGCCTCACTGGTACTGTAACTGGGATACAACTTTGAGGTGTTGACTGTTGAAGTCGTGTCAAATTTAAAGTCAATACTAGATATAAGGAACTAACTAGGAACGAGTTTAACCAATAAGTAGCGGATTTGCTGTCACCAACTTCTTGGGTCGCTTAAATTTTGTATAGTGAATTGGGCGTGGAACCATCTCGGGATGACACACTTATAATAGACACAAATCACAATACGATATATACCTACAACTATATATTATATAAACAATAATAAGGTTATAGCAATCATTCTCTACACAATATCATAATACCTATGTATTATAACTTTATTAGTGGTCGTTAGACTTAGAGCCTAAAAATAAATGTGGTAAAAACCAATCCATTTATTATTGTTTTATTAACTTATGACTGAAGTTATACCAGTTTGTCATTACAAGATAATACGACACCATCTCCTTTTACAGACTCTAGCTCATCTGACAATTAAATTTGCGAAGATTCCTTGAACCTCCTGTTCGTGACGTTCATCAACCTAATCAGATGACTGATCCGGAAAATACTAAAACTATAGGACAGGTTGCTAGTTTAACTGTTTGATATATCACTGAGACAACCTCGCTATCTGATGTACCAGACTATTGCCAGCGGCAGTACTAATTCATCAAATTAGCTTTGTCAGGAAAGATTTATTCTCTCGCACAACTCCTAAGCGTGGCAGTTAACTATAGTCTGATGAAGCCCTAGTTGTGTCCTCCGCCCTCCACTCCGGTTCCCAATCAAGCTCATTTTATTATTCCTCTCTCACATCCTCCTTGAGCCCAAAACACATTCCTACTGCGATTATCTTCAAGTTTTATGTCGCGAATTCTGGTGCATTGACTAAACTAAATATATACTGTTGAGCTGACTCGAGCTCTTATAGAGTGATCGGGGGAGAGCTAAGAAACATACTATATTAAGAAGTGAGTAGCTGCAGAATATTATAAGGGTTAGCCGAATGTTGGGAAAGAATGAAGATAGGAAACCAGAAATCCCTGTATTCCAAAGAAATGTATCAGTTGGTGTAATCTGAAATATTTGAACCTCACTACATTGAACGATTTTATAACCGCCTATTATTTGTCGTTACTACTACAACTATCCTCTACCATGAGTTATTGATTGAATTGTGCAGGAGGTGCTTTTTGCTCTCAACATCTGTGTTTTGGTGACCCTCAGGTCCTTTGATTACATACATTTCGTCCTAGAAAATCTGATTTTATCGGAGTCTTATACTTTTGAGAATATTTAATGTTGTTCATTCATAGTGTAAATTTGTATGTAATTGATCGATTTGAAAGATTTCGATAAAAAAAATCACCAAAATGTATAAAGATTATGCACTACCTGTGTGAATAAGTTAAACTTTGTTTAAACTCATATCTCAAACAAACTTCCCAACCATCTCGGTTTAAGACTTTCATCCAAAAACAAACTCACAACATAGACATAACAAATATCCTATTCTCATTTTTAACGGGGTTTTCGAAATGTTGACCCTCAGTAAACCATGTATTTGACGTGTCTCTAGTGGTTTTTCGCTTTGTCGTCTATTGATATTTTGCTAGCAATGACGGGAGTCTCGGTGTTTCTAGCTTTTCTTTTCCTTGCATTGTCGTTTGCTGATGGAGCAGACAGTAAGTGATTTAATTATTGTTCAGATATACTGGAATTTAATGATAATTTCTATAATTATGAGACATATTGAAAGGAGGAGTCTTAGAAAGTGTAAATAGGCCAGCACTGAGCCTCTTTATGTGCTCTTAATTCGTTTATAGATGTTATTACATAATATACAGGAGGGAGGCAAAAGTCAGTGTACATACGTTGGGTTTTACACCACCGCCGTGTTTTATATTTGAGACTTGTTGCTTTGCAGATGACATACTGCTATCTACTCATTCGAGGATTCCGTCACAAAATTTGAATTGCTTGGTTTTAACATATTGCCATAGATCATTAACTATTTTTTTAAATTAATAATTTAGATTCATCAGAAGTTGTTCAGTAGGTTTATTTTTAATTCAATATATTTAAAGAGCGGAATACCAAATGAAACCAGTTATACTTTCGCATTTTAGTTCCTATTTCAGTTGTCGCTAAAGAGATCATGCTTTGTTTATGATTGAAACAATTGGTTTACGTAACCCATCATTTCATTTTATATTCCGCTCTAAGCCTGCCGAGAAAGCACTGTCGTGTGTCAGTATAAGACTAAATTTTGATTTAAGAAATGCTTCAATGTGGGCGGGCATACTAAAACAAACACCTCTGAATTATAATACAGATATATAAAAACATAATGTATTGCTTACATTTCAGAATCTCAATGTCCTGCTTCCCATCCCAACGTTTACTACAACGGACATTACTGTTGTGACTCGAACAAGGAGCAGTTCAGCTATCTACAGGGTAACAAATGTGACGGCAGTGTGATTCAGAGAGACAGTTTGTGCTGTGCGGGAGTGTCCGTACAATGTCCTAGTGGAACTTGTTCTCAAGCAAGTCAGTTATCTTCAATTTTATAATTTGGTCAAATCGTATACTCCATATTTTGATTTCCTTTGATCGAAAAATTCAGGCGAGTAAGTCTGGACTCTGGGCTGACTCAGATCAAGTCTATTACTATCCTACTATTATTAATTTAAGGGTTTCACCAGCTCAACGTAATATAACTATCGCTTCATCTCAGGCGTACTGACGTTAGGTATGCACTACTCATCTGCAGAAAGAGGGGACAGAACCCTCTCAATCAGTGGTCCTGTGGAGGATCTAACACAGAGAAACTTCAACAACATAGCGTCCCGGTATAAAATAGATGGTAACGGAAAATGGGAGTTCTATGACGGACCAAACTTTGGGGGCCGTCTTTTGTTTACAGCTACTGGACCTGTTGAATGGACTCGTATTGAGAATGTGGCATATGCTGCTAAGCACAATGATGCTGTCTCATCTGTGAGACCAGTCAGCGGTTCTACTCCCACCAAGAGTAAGTAATTAATAAGTCACTAAATACGACCAGGTAGCGCAGTTGGTTAGCCAGCTTTGCAATCGTGAGGTTGCGGGTTCAAATCCCACTGCCTGCCTGGTCGTGGGGTGAGTGTCGTTGACATTCAGCTAAGGATCGTGAGTGGTCTATGCAGCCCCCCGGTCTACTCAGCCGAATACTCGAGAAATCGGGTGTGAGGGTTAAATGAGGAGCTGCACATTGCAGCAAAGTCTCGGGCGAAGAAAGTATGGTACACACTACCTTAACCGTCACTGGCTAAAAACAAATCCTTCGGCTTCCTGTAATTGGCTGGTTGCACTTGTGTAACAATATGGCTGTTGGAATACTCCGAAGTAAAATAAGTGTCTAGATAAAAAAAATAAAATTAGAAAATAAATAAAAAAATAAAAAAATTATAAAAAAATGTCTCTAAGACACAGAGTCAGTCACTAATTTTTTTTAAATCTCAACACTTATGTTACTTCGGACATTCCAACAGCCACATTGTTACACAAGTGTGTAACCAGCCAATTACAGGAAGACGAAGGATTCAATTATACATTAGGCCAGTGACGGTTAAGGTACTAAGGTAGTGTGTACCATACTTTCTTCGCCCGAGACTTTGCTGCAATGGGCAGCTCCTCATTTAACCCTCACACCCGATTTCTCGAGTATTTGGCTGAGTGGACCGGGGGGCTGCATAGACCACTCAGGATCCTTAGCTGAGCGTCGACGACGCTCACCCCACGGCTAGTGACAGAGTCGGAAATTGAACCTGGTACCTCAAGCATGATACCAGGCGGATTAACCAACTGAGCCACTAAGCCACTAAGTCACTAAATATGTCACTAAGTCAATAATAAATCACTAATAAGTCACTAAATATGTCACTAAGTCACAGAGTAAGTCACTAATAGGTCACTAAATATGTCACTGAGTCACAGAGTAAGTCACTAATAAGCTTGTCCTACTACTAATACTCGGTACGTATCTCTTTTAATAAATTATTCAACGTATTCCCACGCCCTGAGCAAGATGTAGAACTTAAAGTTCTCTAATAATAATAATAGTAATAGTACATTCCTGAAAATAAGTTGTTATATGTGGTTCACGCTCGGAGATCTAATTTTTTTAAAGAACGTCGGGGACTTCTGCAGTTAAAGGTGAGGGTAAGGATGAGGGTTGTCGGCGACTTCTGGTTAAAGGTGAGGGTGAGGGTGAGGGTTGTCGGAGACCTCTGGTTAAAGGTGAGGGTAAGGGTGAGGGTTGTCGGGGACCTCTGCTTAAAGGTGAGGGTAAGGGTGAGGGTTGTCGGGGACCTCTGCTTAAAGGTGAGGGTAAGGGTGAGGGTTGTCGGGGACTTCTGCTTAAAGGTGAGGGTAAGGGTGAGGGTTGTCGGGGACTTCTGCTTAAAGGTGAGGGTAAGGGTGAGGGTTGTCGGAGACCTCTGGTTAAAGGTGAGGGTAAGGGTGAGGGTTGTCGGGGACCTCTGCTTAAAGGTGAGGGTAAGGGTGAGGGTTGTCGGGGACCTCTGCTTAAAGGTGAGGGTAAGGGTGAGGGTTGTCGGGGACCTCTGGTTAAAGGTGTGGGTAAGGGTGAGGGTTGTCGGGGACCTCTGCTTAAAGGTGAGGGTAAGGGTGAGGGTTGTCGGAGACCTCTGGTTAAAGGTGAGGGTAAGGGTGAGGGTTGTCGGGGACCTCTGGTTAAAGGTGTGGGTAAGGGTGAGGGTTGTCGGGGACCTCTGCTTAAAGGTGAGGGTAAGGGTGAGGGTTGTCGGGGACCTCTGGTTAAAGGTGAGGGTAAGAGTGAGGGTTGTCGGAGACCTCTGGTTAAAGGTGAGGGTAAGGGTGAGGGTTGTCGGGGACCTCTGGTTAAATGTGAGGGTAAGGGTGAGGGTTGCGATGAGGTTGAGGATAAGTGTTTGGTTTACGTATAAGGGTGAGGGTTAGGGTTAGGGTAGTTCACAAACAAGCATGTTTTGATACCGGAACCTTAATTTTTCCAGAAACATGTAAACGAGTAAGTCGTGGTTGTTGGTGGGCGGGTGCAATATCTGGCGGAGTAAGATTCAACTCTGACAACCCGATCGAGGAATGCCAGAAATATGCAGTACAAAAGGAGTACTCCTTCTTTGCTGTCCAGTCCTACACACAATGCGTCACGTCTGGAGATGCCGGAAACACGTACAAGAGATACGGACAGTCAAACAACTGTTATAGCGGGTACGGAAGGGGAGGACCCTCCGCTTATACCGTTTATCAGATTGTTTGTGAAGATCCTCCTAGTGGTAAGCGCTTATAATAAGTTAAATTCCTAGAACTAAAAGAATATTATCTTTTAAAAGAATTGTGTGTATCTTGGCCTTACTTTAATTCCAGGCGGTGATACGGGACCGGACGGTTTCTGCAAGCTACCACCACGTGTGACACGCCGTGCTGTTGCAATATGGACACCCGACATGATGAAACCAGTCACCAAATCATGTGAGTACTGGATATTCATATTTTTAGATAAATGAGCTGTTGTAGTGCATTAATTATGTGATTATGTGATTATAATTAAATGTTTCCACAGCACCTTCAATGAATTATCACTTACAACAATTTGAATTAAATTTTTTTAATCATTCGTTGCGTGAGATTTTCGTTCTGTCCATAAATTAAAAAAGCTTACTACATATTTTTGCTTATGATTGTTTAATGAGACCCAATCTTATTCTTTATACTATGCTAATTTAACATGTTTAGTTCAAATCTATAATTTTCGTAGCGTGTCCGCAAGACTACCCGTACTCCATGTACGGGGGGAGCTGGTGCTGTTACATCAACAATTGGGTCCAATATAAACAGGAGTACGCTAACTCGGTAAGTACGCTAACTCGGTAAGTACGCTAACTCGGTAAGTACGCTAACTCGGTAAGTACGCTAACTCGGTAAGTACCTTTCAGCTCTACAATAAGCACGTACTTTGCAGATGCCACCATTTAACGCAGAATCTGTCATTTTATTGGGCTTCGTAATAAGCTAATAGTCTTATAGTCTGCTATGATTATTTTTGCCACATATTTTGTTGCCCATTCTGTGGAAGATTATCAGATTCTGCCAGTCGGCAGTCTTATATATATATAAACTTTGCCAGTCTTATTGGTTACGTAAGAAATCAGGAAGGACCTTCCATGACGTTAAAGTTTAACTGAGTAGCATTGATTGTTTTAATCATTTGATTTAATTTTAATTATTTCAGAATTATTACAACTGCGATGCGAACATTTGCTGTAGTAAAAGTGGACATGACTTGATAAGATGTCCTCATGACAGTGGTTACGGGTGTCTAAATTCTGCAAGTTCGTTTTTTGATTTGATTCGTCAATCAAAGATGTACTTATTGTCTAATTTTCTTGATAAAGGTAATAATACATGGTCCTAGTCAGTGTGTTTAATGAACAAATTAATTGTCACAATTGAATCACAGTCGAATTAACGACTGCATCTTCCTTTCCAGGCTTCTGGCAACTGCCAACCAACTATAATTCCCTTTACGGCGATACTAAGAATATAGGAACTGTAAGTGTTAGATTTATTGTACAGGGTGTTTCAAAAGTCTTGCAATGATGTTCTTTTTGGATAACTTTTAATCCATTTGTATGAACTTCATTCTGTAAAAATTTATTGGTAGTTCTAAGGTTTAATGCTTTAATGGTGACTTTGTAACTTTGTAGAATTTAACTTTGTCCTTTATGTTACTAAAATAATGTTACCTATCACTGATCGAAAATCAGAAACAGAGACGGGCGAGTCTTGAATTCAAAATTATTCGTTCCTTATATTAGACCACTTTTCTCTATATCAAAAATCGCCTTTTCATTTCAGTCTAACCACGATTTGTACGGGTATGATAACGTTAATGGCATTGATCTTCTGAAAGAGGGAGACTACGTTGTGTTGAACTGTGATAACGAGGTTTTTCTCATATTATCAATATTTATGCGCAATAATACTATCATATTAGTATTAAGCTTTTTGTATTTTAAATTATGCCAATCAAAACTATTCAACATAATTAACTAAAATCAATATGTTTGTATATTCGCACGTTGCTGAACCACCGTGTTTAGACAGTTTTTTTAATAATCAACTCATCAACTAATTAAATAATTGATTAATTAGTTAAAGTTAAACCACCTGCAGTATAAAGCATTCGGCTGTGATGATCCTGATGAGGACTGGTCCAAGGATTGCAGTGATCAGACGGAGGACCTGAAAACTAACGGTGCTAATGTTGATTAAATTAATTAATAAATAGAATTAATTAACAAATAAATTAATGATTAAATTAATTTTTAGATGATGGAGAAATTTGTATTGTTAAATGTATTTTAATGTTGCCAACTTATTGCTTTTGATAGGGCTCACAAAGTTTTAGGAAATTTCAGTTAATATTTACAATATATTTTACAATACGTTTTTACAGAAGTCAACTTCTTCGTCCCCCATCACAAGAGTTTGGAGAATGCAAGAGCTTATTGTCAAAGTCAAGGGGGAAATCTTGCAACCATCAGGTACCCACTATGTTTTGAAAATACCAATCACCATTCATTGAACTATTTCAGCCTGGGTCATTTAATTGTAAATTTGTATAATATTGTGAGTAGATTCAATCGACCTTGAAATTTTCAAAATTATACCGAGTGATTTTAGAAATTGGTTATTGAATTTATTTTTAATCAAGAGGTTCAGGTAATGAAGCCCGTTCAGGTCAAGCCCCCTCATTATTAGGGGTCCCAAGGGATCAGATCATGTCACCAATTTAGATCCGACACAATGTTTATTGTAATGATCATTTTATTTTGAAATCCTTTAAAATCCTTGAAATCCTTGTCACCAATTAGTGACGTATAATTAGTGATGTGATCCATCAGTAGAATTTAACTGACCTAGAAATGGGCTAGATACAGGGTAGAGTTCACATGTCAACTCTGTATATCATAGCTGTGCATTAAGAAGTAAAGGGGGGTTCTCTAGGGACTACCGGTGGGTGATGAATAATTGAGAATCCAACAGGATCTTGTTCTCTTTATTGTGCTGATTCCGGGAAGCATTCGTTTTACGCTCTAATCCTATTAAAAATCGAGATATCGGTCATTGAAAAATGAATAATTATAGGCCTGTCAATGATTGCAGCCCAATTAAGAGCTGATCAGTTGCAGCTACTTGTGCCATATAAGGGATAATTGACTTCAGTTAACTGAAGTCACGTGACCGCCAATCCTATCACGTGACCTTGATTCGTAAATCCTTGGTCACGTGATCACATTCGTAACGTGTCGAATGCTGACTAGGATATCTCGTGACGTCACCAGAGCTCAAGCTTCCTGACCAGGCCTTATATGGAATAATATAGTGTATCAAGTGTAATTGGATCCAATTAAGATGAGCTGCGCAATTATCGCAGCATCTCGATCTGGTATCACCTTTTGAAACTCAGCAGGCAGCTGGGCCAGAGATTTTAAAATAGAAGGATTTTTGTTGATGAAAATCGAAGCGAAAATCATGTAACCCTATGTTTCCGAGGACGCCGAACACGATAAAACTGGTTATAATTATCATACTCAAGGGCAAATTGCTTTAAAATGCATTTGAATGTCGTAGATGTTATTATAAGCTAAGCGCCTGAGCGGCTTATCGGGTGGCACCAGTCTCTCTGCCGAATCTCAGTAATTGTAAACAACGACGCTACTAGTTCTCAACTAATAATCGGGCTTATGAAGGAAAGATCTCAAGTTCAGAAGACGAAAGAAATTTATTCAAATATTTGCTTAAGATTAACGAATACGGATTTCAACCAATATCGAAAAGGACTACCAAGGATTGTATCGAGACTTCTATAAGCGGTATTTCAAGTCTTTATAACGGTTCAAAGCTACTTACGGATAAGTTGACGCTCCTGTTATGAGAATGGTCCCCTTCCGTTGTACATTACTCGTTACCTTCTGCCTCAAATTTAAAGTTAACCTTACCTTTAACCTTAAACTTTTTCCTATCATAATATGTAGTTAATATTACCTTGTATCTTACAATTTGAGTTACCATTAACTTGTACCTTACATTTAAAGTTAACGTTACATTATACCTTATATCTGGAGTTAACGTTACATTATACATTACATATTCTAGAGTTAACATTAGCTTGTGCCTTTATACATCTAAAGTTAACAATTAACATTAACTTGTGCCTTACATTTAGAGTTAATGTTACATTATACCTTATATCTGGAGTTAACGTTACATTATACCTTACATCTAGAGTTAACGTTACATTATACCTTACATCTAGAGCTATAACGTTACATTATACCTTACATCTAGAGCTATAACGTTACATTATACCTTACATCTAGAGTTAACGTTACATTATACCTTACATCTAGAGCTATAACGTTACATTATACCTTTCATCTAGAGTTAACGTTACATTATACCTTACATCTAGAGCTATAACGTTACATTATACCTTTCATCTAGAGTTAACGTTACATTATACCTTACATCTAGAGCTATAACGTTACATTATACCTTACATCTAGAGCTATAACGTTACATTATACCTTACATCTAGAGTTAACGTTACATTATACCTTACATCTAGAGCTATAACGTTACATTATACCTTTCATCTATAGCTATAACGTTACATTATACCTTACATCTAGAGCTATAACGTTACATTATACCTTTCATCTAGAGCTATAACGTTACATTATACCTTTCATCTATAGCTATAACGTTACATTATACCTTACATCTAGAGCTATAACATTACATTATACCTTACATCTAGAGCTATAACGTTACATTATACCTTACATCTAGAGTTAACGTTACATTATACCTTACATCTAGAGCTATAACGTTACATTATACCTTACATCTAGAGCTATAACGTTACATTATACCTTACATCTAGAGTTAACGTTACATTATACCTTACATCTAGAGCTATAACGTTACATTATACCTTACATCTAGAGTTAACGTTACATTATACCTTACATCTAGAGTTAACGTTACATTATACCCTAAGATGAGAAGTACGGACTCGTTTAGGGGGAAAAGTACGTACTTGTACGCAACTTTGAAAAGTCCGACTCATACGACGTACGATTCAGATAGAATTTTTTTGTTTTTGAATTATTATCATCGGGGCCGTTGTAAAATGTAATTGTTAATTGCCGATGTTAGACAAAATATACCGTTCGCGAACAAATTAAACACAGAATTCTTAGGCCAGGCAAGCATTTAAAAGTAAAACAAAAATTCTACTAAATTACTAGACAATTTACTTATTTAAACAGCTTGTTTCTTTTAAAGTTAAACTCTAAGTTAATCGAAGATTGGAATATAGAAACACAAGTTTTTGAAAACGCTCTATATTAGTCCGTAACAAGCGATTTAGAACTCTTCCATCGATTTCTAGAAGAAGAACTTTTCAGTAGAATTTAAAAGTACGTACGATACGAGTAAATTGAAAAGTCCGACTCATTCGTACTTCTCATCTTAGATTATACCTTACATCTAGAGTTAACCTTATATTATACCTTACATCTAGAGCTATAACGTTACATTATACCTTACATCTAGAGTTAACGTTACATTATACCTTACATCTAGAGCTATAACGTTACATTATACCTTACATCTAGAGCTATAACGTTACATTATACCTTACATCTAGAGTTAACGTTACATTATACCTTACATCTAGAGCTATAACGTTACATTATACCTTACATCTAGAGCTATAACGTTACATTATACCTTACATCTAGAGCTATAACGTTACATTATACCTTACATCTAGAGTTAACGTTACATTATACCTTACATCTAGAGCTTTAACGTTACATTATACCTTACATCTAGAGTTAACGTTACATTATACCTTACATCTAGAGTTAACGTTACATTATACCTTACATCTAGAGCTATAACGTTACATTATACCTTACATCTAGAGCTATAACGTTACATTATACCTTACATCTAGAGTTAACGTTACATTATACCTTACATCTAGAGCTATAACGTTACATTATACCTTACATCTAGAGCTATAACGTTACATTATACCTTACATCTAGAGTTAACGTTACATTATACCTTACATCTAGAGCTATAACGTTACATTATACCTTTCATCTAGAGTTAACGTTACATTATACCTTTCATCTATAGCTATAACGTTACATTATACCTTACATCTAGAGCTATAACGTTACATTATACCTTACATCTAGAGCTATAACGTTACATTATACCTTACATCTAGAGCTATAACGTTACATTATACCTTACATCTAGAGCTATAACATTACATTATACCTTACATCTAGAGCTATAACGTTACATTATACCTTTCATCTAGAGCTATAACGTTACATTATACCTTACATCTAGAGTTAACGTTACATTATACCTTACATCTAGAGCTATAACGTTACATTATACCTTACATCTAGAGCTATAACGTTACATTATACCTTTCATCTAGAGTTAACGTTACATTATACCTTACATCTAGAGCTATAACGTTACATTATACCTTACATCTAGAGCTATAACGTTACATTATACCTTACATCTAGAGCTATAACGTTACATTATACCTTTCATCTAGAGTTATAACGTTACATTATACCTTACATCTAGAGCTATAACGTTACATTATACCTTACATCTAGAGCTATAACGTTACATTATACCTTACATCTAGAGTTAACGTTACATTATACCTTACATCTAGAGCTATAACGTTACATTATACCTTACATCTAGAGTTAACGTTACATTATACCTTACATCTAGAGCTATAACGTTACATTATACCTTACATCTAGAGTTAACGTTACATTATACCTTACATCTAGAGCTATAACGTTACATTATACCTTACATCTAGAGTTAACGTTACATTATACCTTACATCTAGAGTTAACGTTACATTATACCTTTCATCTAGAGTTAACGTTACATTATACCTTTCATCTAGAGTTAACGTTACATTATACCTTTCATCTAGAGCTATAACGTTACATTATACCTTACATCTAGAGCTATAACGTTACATTATACCTTACATCTAGAGTTAACGTTACATTATACCTTACATCTAGAGCTATAACGTTACATTATACCTTACATCTAGAGTTAACGTTACATTATACCTTACATCTAGAGCTATAACGTTACATTATACCTTACATCTAGAGCTATAACGTTACATTATACCTTACATCTAGAGTTAACGTTACATTATACCTTTCATCTAGAGTTATAACGTTACATTATACCTTACATCTAGAGTTAACGTTACATTATACCTTACATCTAGAGTTAACGTTACATTATACCTTACATCTAGAGTTATAACGTTACATTATACCTTACATCTAGAGCTATAACGTTACATTATACCTTACATCTAGAGCTATAACGTTACATTATACCTTACATCTAGAGTTAACGTTACATTATACCTTTCATCTAGAGTTATAACGTTACA